GTTCACGTTGAAACTCTTTTCTGTAGACGCTGCCACGCCAGAACTCATTTGTGTGGACGCTGGAACTCTTTTGCGTTGACGCCAGAACTCATTTGTGTTGATGTTGGATCTCTTTTGTGTTGACGCTGGAACTCTTTTGTGTTCGCGTTGGAACTCTTTTCTGTGGACGCTTGAAATCTTTTTTGCGGATGATGGAACTCTTTTGTGTGGACGCTGGAACTATTTTGTGTTGACGCTGGAACGCTTTTGTGTTGAAACTGGAACTTTTTTGTTAGGATATTGGAACTCCTTTATATATTGACGTTGGGACTGTTTTCTGTAGACACTGCCGTGCTAGAACTCTTTTGCGTGGACGCTGAAATTCTTTTGCCTTGACATCGGAACTCATTTGTGTTGACGCTGTAACTCTTTTGTGTTCACATTGCAACTCTCTTTCGTGGACGTTGGAACTCTTTTGTGTTGACGTTGCAACTCTTTTCTGTGGACGCTGCCACGCTGGAAATCTTTTGTGTGGACGCTTGAACTCTTTTGTGAGAACGTTGGAACTCTTATTTTTTGACGTTGGAACTCTTTTCTGTAGACGCTGCCACGCTAGAACTCTTTTGCGTGGATGCTGAAATTCTTTTGCGTTGACATCGGAACTCATTTGTGTTGATGTTGGGACTCTTTTCTGTACACGCTGCCACGCTACAACTCTTTTGCGCGGACGCTGAAATTCTTTTGCGTTGACATCGGAACTCATTTGTGTTGATGATGGGACTCTTTTCTGTACACGCTGCCACGCTAGGACTCTTTTGCGTGAACGCTGAAATTCTTTTGCGTTGACATCGGAACTCATTTGTGTTGATGTTGGAATTCTTTTGTGTGGACGCTACAACTCTTTTGTGTTGACGCTGTAACTCTTTCGTGTTACGTTGGAACTCTTTTGTGTTCACGTTGGAACTCTTTTGAGTTGACCATGGAACTCTTTTGTGTTCACGTTGGAACTCTTTTTTGTTCACGTTGGAACTCTTTTGTGTGGACGCTAAAACTCTTTTTCGTGGACGATGGAACTCTTTTGTGTTGACGCTGCAACTCTTTTGTGTTGAAACTGGAACTTTTTTGTGAGGATAATGGAACTCTTTTATATTGACGTTGGGACTCTTTTCTGTAGACGCTGCCACGCTGAAACTGGAACGCTGGAACTCTTATGTGTTGACGCTGGAACTCTTTTGTGTTGACCATAGAACTCTTTTGTGTTCACGTTTAAACTCTTTTTTGTTGACGGTAGAACTATTTTGTGTGGACGCTTGACCTTTTTTTCATAGACGCTGGAACTCTTTTTTATGGACGCCAGAACTCATTTGTGTTGATGTTGGAACTCTTTTGTGTTGACGCTGGAACTCTTTTGTGTTGACGCTGGAACTCTGTTGTGTTGACGATGGAACTCTTCTGTGTTCACGTTGGAACTCTTTTTTGTTGACGGTCGAACATTTTTGTTTGGGCGCTGCAACTTTTTTCATAGACGCTGGAACTCTTTTATATGGACGCCAGAACTCATTGGTGTTGATGTTGGAACTCTTTTGTGTTGACGCTGGAACTCTTTTGTGTTGACGCTGGAACTCTGTTGTGTTGACGATGGAACTCTTCTGTGTTCACGTTGGAACTCTTTTTTGTTGACGGTCGAACATTTTTGTTTGGGCGCTGCAACTCTTTTGTGAGCATGTTAGAACTCTTATTTGTTGACGTTGGAACTCTTTTCTGTAGACGCTCTAACGCTGGAACTCTTTTGTGTTGACGTTGGAACTCTTTTGTGTTGACCATGGAACTCTTTTGTGTTCACGTTTAAACTCTTTTTTGTTGACTGTGGAACTATTTTGTGTGGACGCTTGACCTTTTTTTCGTGGACGCTGGAACTTTTTTGTGAGGACGCCAGAACTCATTTGTGTTGATGTTGGAACTCTTTTGTGTTGACGCTGGAACTGTTTTGTGTTCGCGTTGGAACTCTTTTGTGTGGACGCTTGAAATCTTTTTTGTGGATGATGGAACTCTTTTGTGTGGACGCTAGAACCATTTTGTGTTGACGCTGGAACGCTTTTGTGTTGAAACTGGAACTTTTTTGTGAGGATATTGGAACTTCCTTATATTGACGTTGGAACCGTTTTCTGTACACGCTGCCACGCTAGAACTCTTTTGCGTGGACGCTGAAATTCTTTTGCGTTGACATCGGAACTCATTTGTGTTGACGTTGGAACTCTTTTGTGTGGACGCTAGAACTCTTTTGTGTTGACGCTGTAACTCTTTTGTGTTCACGTTGGAACTCTTTTGTGTTCACGTTGGAACTCTTTTGTGTTCACGTTGGAACTCTTTTGAGTTGACCATGGAACTCTTTTGTGTTCACCTTGGAACTCTTTTTTGTTCACGTTGGAACTCTTTTGTGTGGACGCTAAAACTCGTTTTCGTGGACGCTGGAACTCTATTGTTTTGATGCTGCAACTCTTTTGTTAGCACGTTGCAACTCATATTTGTTGACGTTGGAAGACTTTTGTGAGAACGTCGGAACTCTTTTCTGTGGACGCTAGATCTCTTTTGTTTGGACGCTGGAACTCTTTTCTGTGGACTTTGGAACTCTTTTGTGTGGACGTTGGAATTCTTTGGTGTGTTGACATTTGAACTCTTTGGTGCTGATGTTGAAACTTTTTCGTGGACGCTGGAAAACTTTTGCATGTGTGGATGTTGGAATTTTTTGGTTGACGCTGGAACTCTTTTGTGTGGACGCTGGAACTATTTTGTGTTGACGCTCGAACGCTTTTTTGTTGAAACTGGATATCTTTTGTGAGGATATTGGAACTCTTTTATATATTGACGTTGGGACTCTTTTCTGTAGACGCTGCCACGCTGAAACTCTTTTGCGTGGATGCTGGAACTCTTATGTGTTGACGCTGGAACTCTTTTGTGTTGACCATGGAACTCTTTTGTGTTCACGTTGAACTCTTTTTTGTTGACGGTCGAACATTTTTGTTTGGGCGCTGCAACTCTTTTGTGAGCATGTTGGAACTCTTATTTGTTGACGTTGGAACTCTTTTCTGTAGACGCTACCACGCTGGAACTCTTTTGTGTTGACGTGGGAACTCTTTTGTGTTGACCACGGAACTCTTTTGTGTTCACGTTTAAACTCTTTTTTGTTGACTGTGGAACTATTTTGTGTGGACGCTTGACCTTTTTTTCGTGGACGATGGAACTTTTTTGTGAGGACGCCAGAACTCATTTGTGTTTATGTTGCAACTCTTTTGTGTTGACGCTGGAACTCTTTTGTGTTCGCGTTGGAACTCTTTTCTGTGGACGCTTGAAATCTTTTTTGTGGATGATGGAACTCTTTTGTGTGGATGCTGGAACTATTTTGTGTTGACGCTGGAACGCTTTTGTGTTGAAACTGGAACTTTTTTGTTAGGATATTGGAACTCCTTTATATATTGACGTTGGGACTCTTTTCTGTAGACACTGCCGTGCTAGAACTCTTTTGCGTGGACGCTGAAATTCTTTTGCCTTGACATCGGAACTCATTTGTGTTGACGTTGGAACTCTTTTGTGTGGACGTTATAACTCTTTTGTGTTGGAACTCAATAGAGTTGACCATGGAACTCTTTTGTGTTCACGTTGGAACTCTTTTTGTTCACGTTGGAACTCTCTTGCGTAGACGCTAAAACTCCTATTCGTGGACGCTGGAACTTTTTTGTGTTGACGCTGCAACTCTTTTGTTACCACATTGGAACTCTTATTTGTTGACGTTGGAACTCTTTTCTGTAGACGCTGTCACGCTGGAACTTTTTTCCGTGCACGCTGGAATTCTTTTGCGTGGACGCCGGAACTCATTTGTGTTGACGTTGGAACTCTTTTTTGATGACCAAGGGATTCTTTTGTGTTCACGTTGGAACTCTTTTTTGTTCACGTTGGAACTTCTATTGTGTTGACACTGGAACTCGTTTGTGTGAACGCTATAATTCTTTTGTGTTGACGTTGGAACTCTTTTGTCTGGACGCTGCAACAGTCTTTTGTTAGCACGTTGGAACTGTTATTTGTTGATGTTGGAACTCTTTTCTGTAGACGCTGCCACGCTGGAACTCTTTTGCGTGGACACTAGAACTCTTTTTTGTGGACGCTGGAACTCTTTTGTGAGGACGTTTGAACTCTTATTTGTTCATGTTTGGATGGAACTCTTTTGTGAGGACGTTGGAACTCTTATTTGTTCACGTTTGAACACCTTTCTGTTGACGTTGGAATTCTTTTCTGCGGACGCTGCCGCGCTGGAACAGTTTTAAGAGGACGTCGGAACTCTTATTTGTTGACCGTGGAACTCCTTTGTTTTCACGTTGGAACTGTTTTTTGTTGACGGTGTAACTCTTTTGAGTGGACGCTGGAACTATTTTGTATTGACGTTGGACTTCTTTTTTGTTGACGCTGGAACTCTTTTATGTTGATATTAGAACTGTTTGTTTAAATGCTGGAACTCTTTTTGACGGTGGAACTCTTTTGTGTTCACGTTAGAACTCTTGTGAGAACGTTTGGAGCTATTTTCTATTGACGATGGAGCCTTTTTGTGAGGACGCTGGAACTCTTTTGTGTTTATGTAGGAATTGGTTTGTGTGGATGCTGGGACTCTTTTTTGTTTACGCTGAAACTCTTTTGTGTTGACGCTGAAACTCGTTTGTGTCGACGCTTGAAACTCTTTTTGGTTCACGGTGGAACTGTTTTGTGTTCACGTTGGAACTCTTTTGCGAGGACGCTGAAACTCTTTTGTGTGGACGTTGGAACTCTTTTTTATTGACGTTGGAACTCCTTTGTGTTGACCTTGGAACACTTTTCTGTGGACGCTTCCACGCTGGAACTCTTTTGTGTGAACGCTGGAACTCATTTGTGTTGATGTTGGAACTTGTTTGTGTGGACGCTTGAACTCGTTTGTGTGGATGCCTGGACCCTTTTTGGTTGAAGGTGGAACTCTTTTGTGTGGACGCTGAAACTCCTTTGTTTTGACGTAGGAACTCTTTTCTGTGGACGCTGCGACGCTGGTACTCTTTTGTGTTGAAGCTTGAACTCTTTTTGTTGACGCAGGAAGTCTAGATCTTTTATGTTGATGTTGGAACTGTTTTGTGTGAACGCTGAAACTCTTTTGTATGGACGTTGGAACTGTGATGTGTGGATGTTGTAACTGTTATGTGTGGACGTTGGAACTCCGATGTTTGGTCATTGCAGGAATTATTGTGTTTGGACACTGAAATTCTTGTTAATGGACGTTGGATGTTTTTTGTGTGTACGTTGGTATTGTTGTGTTTGTCGTAGAAAGTTTTATTTTTTGTTAGTTTTGTGTTTTTTACTTCTATTATCTTGTCAGTTGATGTTAAATCTTGTGAATTGGGTGTTGTGTTATGAGAGGTTTATTGGCTTCCTGTGGCGGAAGCGTTCTTTTTCTTGTAAAGATCACTTGGTGTAACTGCTGCGATGTTTTGCTCCTCTGAAGAAGTTGCTTTTGATTTTCTTTTTCCATTCGTTGTTTTTTAAAAGAATTTGAATTTGGAGGTCTTGTGTTTGGTCGTTGTTTCCTCGTTTTCGTTGGGCTCGTTGATCTTTTTTGGCTGTTTAACTTTTTTCACTTTGGTTTTTCCATGTTTCCAAAACTGGGACCATTTACTTGTTTTCGTTGTAGTTGTCTCCGCTGAAGATGATGCTATGAAATTAATAATCACTTGTGAAATGTTTAGCCGTGAGGTGTGAAACTAACCGCAGCATCTGATATGTATGTAATAGAAGAAATTGAGCTCATTTTCTTACGCCTGAAATACGGTGTTTACCTTCTCCATTTGCTTTCTCCATCTGCTTGTATTCATCATCTGGTTCAATGGATGGAACCTCTCTGGAGTGGATGTCACTTGACGTTGTTCCTTGAAACATTTTGTAGATATCAGATGGTTTCTTCATTGGACAAGGTTCAGGATTTACTGAGTCGTTGCCAGTAGTCGAATCACATAAAGGGTTGATCTTTCTGTGTTTTCGTTTCATTTTCCTTGAACATTTCTTCTTTTTGACTTTGATATCTTCTTCGGCAAGCTGAAGTGATTGTAAAGGACCCAGGTTAATAGAACTTTCAATGACGAGCAATATTTTACTAAGTAGAGTACAAGTTTGGTAATCAGATTTTCTTGTGTTGGAAAGTTTACCCTTTGCATGCTTGATTGGTTTCTCTTACCTCACAAAGAGATTCTGCGACATTTTCTTGAACGTTTGAGTCGGAACTCTCTGCATTGACATATTGCCCTGTTTTCGCAAGCTTTTGTGCAGGCGTGTCAGAAATGCCCGACTTTAATTTTAACTGTTTTTCCTTTCTTTCGTTGTCTTCTTTTGCCCACTGACGACACTCGAAGGCAATTTCTGAAGCTGGATATAAGAGAAATTGTATTATTAATGAGAAGTGGCCGGTTGTATAAAAACTTCGTTAACTTTAACTATGATCATCGGTAATCACTGTAGTTAATTCCTTAACTATAATTATTTAACTATACGACTTAATACCTGCGTTGCACAAAACCTAGTTTGTCGGATGATTATTAACTAATCACGTTAACTTGCGTGGAGCTTGCGTGGGGTTGTTAAACAAAGAAATAGCATGAAGTATCTCGAAATTATTCACCGCTGCTATTGATTTTTAACAAGACTGTGGACTCGTATTTTAAACAATTGACAGTATTTTGATCAGTGATTTTGATCTAAAATATTGGAAAAATACAATAAAACAAGGAAAAAGTTCAAAATAATTCAACGAAAAAGGCTCGCTTAATATAAAAAGCCTCCTTTGAGTCAAACTACCGGTTGCAGTTGAAAATGGAGATGGCTAATCTTTCCTTGGATCGTAATTTGGCATCGACACGTCTCTCGAAGCAAAGATATATTCTGTTGCTGCCCAAATGAAAAAAATAAAAACATATTGAAGGTTTACAAGCTTCGACGGGGGCTTTACTAAGTTGACAACCTTGGTAGGTGTTGATTTAATTTTTTCTCAAAAGCTCAAGACACCATTTTTAACTACGATTTGGAAAGTTAACGATGCCCTTGAGGATAGTTAACTTTAACCACTTTTAAACTGCAGTTGAGGCTAACTACACTTTTATACAACCGACTTAACTACGTGATTAAAGTTAACTACTTTTTAAATTTTAATTACTTTTTATCTACTTTTTAACTGCAGTTAGCGCTAACTAGGTTTTTATACCCAACCGGCCCCATTGCGCTCCACATTTGACGAAGGGTTTCCCTGATAGCATTGCTTAACTAAAAAAATTCCACGCTCAGCAATATCAACACTCCTTTTCACTGGCAGCCTATCAATGTAATTTTATTTTACCAGCGGGTTTTTATCTAAAATTTATTTTAAAACTTCGAAAGGTATATTTGGACTAGTCTTATATGTTGCGGTATATTGCAGGCAGTTGAATTCAATAAGTAAACTTACCGATTTTACGAGTTATGCCTCGGCGAGTGAGGTCTTCTGTGTGAACTGACAGAACTGTGTCGCCACCGTTGTCTTCTACATCGTTGTTATTTTCAAATATCACTTCAGAAAGTTGAACTGCTTCATTTCTCTTCTTTCTCGGTGTCTTTTTAGTGTGGCCACATTCTGAAAGAAGAAAAATAATTATTATTCCATTTTGGCAATTGTACTGGGACGCTTATATATATTTCTTTCATTTTTTTTCAAAGAAATCAGCCCGCTTTAGAAATGTGCACATGCAATAGAAAACAAAATGTCATTCACAAAGGCAGAAGCGAAATTTGATGAATCATCTCAAATTAATTCACTAACCTTCTGTTTGGCTGTTGACGCCGAACAAATCGTGGTACCTTTTTTCCTCTTCGGACATTTCTCGTGTTCCGCCAACAGACCCAAGTCTCTCTGGAATAACAAAAAAAACAAAACAATAAGTTAGCGCGTGATGGGGTTATCAGTCAGAAATACTAATGAAACAGTTGAGACCTGAATGAATTACCTGCATATCTTCTTGAAATCTTTAACTGATTATCACTCGCTAAGCCGTCGTTGTCTCGAATTTTTTCCATTTCCAACAATGTACCTTCGCCAACTTTCGACCTGCGTCGGAAGGGTTTGGATAATGAGGAAAGGGAAAACATACTTTTCAATTAACCGCTTTTTATCGCTCTGTGAAAGAATTTTTCGCGCGCAAAATTTTTGCAAACCTATCCGCACGAAACGATCATTTAATTGACAACTATTGAATGAATTTTTCGTCATTTAATTAAACCGCCCGATGCGTGCGTTTTCATTAAAATGATTTTGTCGTGAATCAAGCTAAAAACTAACAGTAATGGTATGCATGACCACTAAACGGCAACAACCAAGAGCGTAGGAAAAATCCACAGATCGGGGGGGCACCGGTTTCCAGGGGCACCTTTGGTTAATAAACTGAGGGCAGCTAAAAAATGTATGCCAAAGCTGCAAGGACATCACTAGTGAGGTTATATTTTTTATTTAGGCACGAAAAAGATTTAGGCACGTGTAAATGGGCATACGTAGAAAACAAAAAGGGGAGCTTCGATTTTAAAATACTATTTACAGCTACATTAGCGTCTCAAAAAAAGCATTTTACATCACAAGAGGTCACATATGGCTCCTTGAAAAATTTTGGGGACATGCTCTCCCCCCTGTTCCTACGCTACTTTCCTCTTTCCTTTCACTACTTTTCCTGCTACTTTCTATGGTCCCTGTTCTCTTCAATTATTTATATTTCAATTATCCCACCCTAAAATTGGAGCCCGTTGCTCACAAATTTATGCAAGAAAAAATTAGTCAACAAGACAACAACTGTCAGAGCAACAATAATGGCGTCCAACGCTGTAAATTTGGCGTCCTGGGATGTCGATAAAGTGGAACATTGGCTTGGCGAGAATGGCTTTGATTCATATATCAATATGTTCTGTAAAACACACAAAATCGACGGAATATGTCTGCTTAATTTGACCGAAAGAGACTTAAGAGAGCCGCCAATGCAAATAAAAGTTTTAGGAGATGTCAAACGGATATGGATAGCCATACTAGAATTGCGAAAGTCTTGTGGAAATTCGAAAAACAGTTTAAACTACTCGCGTACAAGTACCCCAGATGATTTAAAGTCAGCAACTGATTTTTCGGATGGTCGGATCTTAACAGATAACTCAGATTCTGATACTGAACCGACGGAAATTTTTGTACGTTTGTCGACTGTTGGTGATACCGGTCGTACTCTGGCTTCGGTTGCCTATTGCATTCTCGTTCTAATTATTACCTCATTAACGATGACGGTTGTCCATGATCGAGTTCCAGATATGACTCGTTATCCACCCTTGCCTGATATATTTTTAGACAACATGCCTCTTGTTCCATGGGCATTCTACATTTGTGAACTGTCAGCATCAATAATGGGTTTCATTCTTTTCATGATTATCATCCTGCATAAACACAGGTTTATCCTAATTAGACGTATCTGTGCAATCGTTGGAACAGTGTTTCTACTGCGATGTGTTACTATGTTTCTGACCTCATTAAGTGTACCTGGTGTGCACTTGGAGTGCTCTGGCAAGGTATAAACAGTTCTCTATGATAAATGAGGTGCAGATATTTAACTAATTACAAGTAAACTGAAAGTCTAAACAAGACCCAAGGACATTATTATAGCCCCAGCTTATTTGCTGAGACACAATTTTATACATACCTACTCCTTTTATTAATCGTGTTAGTCCTAATGATAATTATCTCATCATCTTTTTCATACCCTGAACACAGTCAATCAGCTCAGGCCCTATTTTGCACCCTTTTACATCCTAGCTTCTACTTTAATGCTAAGAACTATTTAATAATAATATAATACCTTTTCTTGTCGCTACTTGTCAATGCAAAATAAAAATTTATATTTACATTTGGAAAATGCACATAAAAAATTATCTTCTATTAGACAAGCTTATTCTGACTAATACCTTACATAAGTACCACAAAGAAAAACCAAGTTGATATGAACACCATTCATATCACCTTAAACTCAAGGATATTATGTTAACTTTAGATTTATGGTGATTGGGAAACAAGATTCAAACGAGCATTCACAATATTCTTTGGAGGAGGTCTTGCTTTAAATGGTGTTCGCTCCTGTGGTGATTATATGTACAGTGGCCACACATGTGCTGTGACTTTGCTCAATTTTTTTATTTCTGAATGTAAGTATAAAAGATATTCAATTCCAATAGAATAGGTACTTATAGTCCAAAGCAATATACTCTAGTGGAAACATGTGATTTTACACAAGAATTAATTGTATAGACACATGTATATCATATATGGTTTTCAATTTAATATATTGGTCTCAAATTTTAATGGGATAGCTTTACCAGTTTTAAACTGTCCTAGTTTCTAGTGAGATATTTAACCATAAATAGTCTGGAATAACTGTGAAATGCAAGAAAGAAAATAATTATGAAAAAGGTTGAGAATGGTGGTAAAAAACCAAATATGCAGAGAAATGTAATTGCAGGATTAACAGACAGGGGCGTAACTAGAACGATAATTGGGGGGGTGAATATTCATATATTCAGTTCTGCCCGACGGATTTCTATTGTAAGCTTTTGCAATTACAAAAGAAATCCGTACGGCAGAACTGGGTATATGAATATTCACCCCCCCCCCCCCAATTATCCTTCTAGTTACGCCACTGTTAACAGATCGGTCATAATATCACCAGCTAATCCAGTGTGTTATCACAATTGCCTAGAGATTTGCCTTGAACAACCATCTTTCTCTTTGCAGACACGCCAAGGCGATGGTCATTCCTTCACACGATCTGCTGGTTGCTTAATATATTTGGTATCTTTTTCATCCTTGCTGCGCATGAGCACTACTCCATCGACGTATTCATTGCTTTCTACATATCTTCGCGTATCTTCTTGTACTATCACGCCTTGGCGAACGCACAGTCGCTTGATAACCGCGCCCAGCTGCGTACGAGGATATGGTTCCCGCTCTTTTATTTCTTTGAAAACAACTGCAAGTTCAAGGGTCGGGTCCCGAACGAATATGAATGGCCAATCACGCTGCCGTTTTGGAACAAAAAGGAACAATAATAAAATGGTTGTTTCATTTTAGCACTTTTCTTAAAAGCACTCATCTTATGTATTTTGCCTGATTTTTACTAGAGGCTGGCCTGATCGATCATACGTTCAAAACACATACACACGTACATGAACGTAGCACCTACCAAGATCAATCATGAATCAACACTTACAAACGAATATAAACAAAGATATATTAGCACCCAGATGAACCAGAGAGCCCAGAGGGCTTTCTATTTCGAGACAGTGTGATCGTACATTATTTTAAATCATGTATGGTATTCCCCCCGTTGGTTGCCGGGCTCATCACAGTCCACTCCTCCTATATAGTCGGGCCCATCACAGTCAACTCCCCCTATAGCCGGGCTCCTCAGTCCTCACAGTCGACTCCCCTTATATAGTTGGGCCCATCACAGTCAACTCCCCGTATAGCCGGGCCCATCACAGGCAACTCCCCGTATAGCCGGGCCCATCACAAACAACTTCCCGTATAGTCGGGCTCATCACAATCAACTTCCCCTATAGTCGGGCCCATCACAGTCAACTCCCCGTATAGCCAGGCTCATGACAGTCAACTCCCCCTATATAGTGTGTATACAACTTTATTGCTTTTGTTAAGACAAATTTTCACACAAATATATACTCATATGATTGGATCACCCTCCTCTAATGAAGATCAGGCTACTATTCAGATTTTAAATTTAGGAACTAATAAATAAATATAGTATAATTGGGTCATTTGTAGCTATATTCGAAAGCTATCGAATATATGGCAAAGATCTATAGGGAATTTCAAATTATATAAAATGTAAAAATTGATATATTAAATTGAAAAATTAGAAAGTATTTATAATTAAAACGTTTGAAATGATAAAATCTAATTATTAAATTATAGTGTGAACAGGCTAAAATAAATATATTTAATCTGTAATTTTGTGGTTTTACTTACAAGAATAAAGGATGTGATTTCATGAACTTAATAACTTTGTATACGTGCAGTTTAATATTGTTCATTATTTGAAAAAATTGTGAAGAAATGCGAAAAAAAATAATCAGAGTTAAGAAATTACCTTTTTTGGGTGTATAGGATGATGAGATGATGATGAAAAGGGCTTGGAAAATACCAAGAGATGATGATGACGAATGCTTGGAAAATCTAAACTGCGATTGTTTGAAAGAAACCGTAGTTTGAAGTCTAAAGATCAGTTTTAGAAATTTTTTCTCATACCAAAAACCGTTGCGTGCTTGAGAAAGAAAAAAAAACATCTTAAAAACTGCACGTTTTAACATATGTCATAAAAAGGTAAAGCATTTTAATAAGTTCGTGGCGAAATAGATAGCAAACTATCCTTTTTTGCTTCCCACACAAAATTGATGCCAGTCAAACCACAGATATGAAGGAACACGGATCACGCAGTCGTTAAATCTGAAGCCTTAGAAAATGGTGCATGAAATTGAAAAAATATAGCGATAAATGTAGTTTACAAGACCAAAAGATGAAATTCGACCAAAAAGGCGGAAAAATTAAGGCCTGACGGCCCTGTCCATACAAGGGGGATAAATATAGCTGCAACATATCATATATATTCATTGGCTGCGAAGTCCGGATAAAGAAACTGACATATTTTCCTGAGAAGAGGGACGTTTTTCAGACCAAAATGGTAAATAACGTGTTTATTTTTCACTTAAAGCAATGTTATTGCGGTCTTGAGTTTAAATATGTGATGCAATGACGAACACAACAAGTCAAACAACCAAAACCCACCCAAAACCTCATTCATTAATTTAGTAAAATTCACTCTTCGTGGTAATACGCTTTTGAAGAAACCAAAACAAAACAGGCCTTTGCTTGAGAAAATAAGACATGCACGGTATATTCCGTGATCAGATATGGCGAAATTCCACTCATTGCCATTGGCATTGCTGCAGCCAATCAGATTACAGGATAGGCATAGATGTGATCCGTCCGCTGCTGATTTATGAAAAAATAAAACATCAAATTCAAGAATTTCTTTGAGTAACGATGCGAGTGATGCTTCTCTCCTCAACTGATATGACTTTGGGCATTTCGTTCGATGAAGATAAATATTAGGGGGGTTGGGACTTTGGTGGAAGCAAAATAGAGTCTACCGATTATCCACCTGATATCTATCTCCATGCATCAAACGAAGTGCCCAAAAGTTTATATAGATTTACCCTTATCTGCACGTGGCATTACATCAGCATTTATATTGAAGTATGTTTGGGTCTTGGCAACTGAGAAAGTGCACCGCCCTAACGTATAGGACGTTATAGGACGTAGCAATTTAAGGTTTGTTACGGATGAAATTTGGACCATCTATGAAGGTAGTCCAAATTTCATCATTCTCAATTTTATCCATGCCAAAACTAAAATTGATCATAATAAACGGATGAAATTGGTACGTTTGAAATTTGGCGAACTATTTGGCAGTTTGAAATTTCATCCGAACCATTTTTGTGGTACCGCACCAAAAATTGTGCATAGTGTAAATATTCTATATTAGACATTAGCCCCTTTGACCCTTTATTAAATCTCAACAGTCAACTCTATACATCATTTACTATTTCATCGTCATCGGAACTTATGATTGACAAAACTCGAGAAAGTGAAATGTTGTGGTCAGGAAAAGGCCATCCTTTCATGCATGTTCGTCGATCACTCAACTCGCTTCTCGTGATGTTGTTGGCGGGATGATTTATCGGCTGTAACTTAGATTTCGTACGACTAATTTGAGCTACCACAGTCCGGTTATATATATCAGTCAAAATATCTGAATAAACAACAAACCCTAATCGGCTAAGTGGAATATCTGGGGTTTATACATAAAGGAACAATGCTTTGTCAGCTGCTTATAATCAGTTTTAACAATCTGTCTGCAGTTTAGAATTATTTAGGATTCTTTTATTTATTAGTCACGAGTCGACGTTCTCTGATGCATGAGATAAAATATCAAAAACAGCCTTGGAAAAGCGGTCTGGGGATCCTGAGGAGCTACCGTTTTAAAATAATGTTAAATAATAATAATAAAATAATAGCCAATGAACGTCATGTAGGTCAGAAGTGTGGATTGGTTTTTTTATCTCGTCCCAGCTCTTGTATTTTGTTTGTCCATTGTCACACAAGCCTAGTTTTTGTTATGCTTCATCAATACTTTTATTATAATGGTTACACAATGTTTATCCTAATCTTGTGGTAAAATTTTTAAACTGTATAGCTGTACACGGCCTAAGTTTAATTTACAAACGATTTTATCGTTTATTTTTGTTGCTCAACTACACAAACCGTTTATATACACTGCATGCATTGATTGAATGCGAGCGTATATACTGCAGCATGCAGCATGCTTATTCTTTAGTTTTTTGAGATTAGTAGTAAGCTTAGCATGGGGCGGTTCCGACAAAACGATTGATCCTTACCCCTGGACTGCTTTAATCGTACGAAGTGTCAGGCATGAAAAGAAAAGTGTAATTAATAGACGTTGTAAATGGCCAACAAAATTAATTACTTCTTTTCCATGCCCTCTATATATTACAGCTGCAGCTCATTTACACTACGCAAAATTTTAGGTCGGGTATACATGAATGCAGGAAGAATTTTGCTGCACTATCCATTCAGGCTAATTTCATCCATCTCTCCGTAATCTTTCACACCCAAAATCGAACATCATGTAGGCACGGATAAAATTGGTACAGATGAAATTTGAATAGCTAGATTGAGCAGTAAGTCTCTGTATTTTCTTTATCCCATTCAATTTTACAATTTTAATTTGCGTATCGATGCATGATGCATAAGGTAAATCGCAATTCGTATCTAGCGATGTAAATTGTAAAAGCTTATGAAGTATTGCATGGAGGATGATTTCATTTGACTATTCAGGCTAATTTCATCCATCTGTCCGTAATCCTTCACACCCAAAATCGAACATCATGTATACGGATGAAATTTGAATAGCAATATTGAGCAATGAGTCGCTGTATTTCTCTCATTCAATTCTACAATTTTAATTTGCGTATTACAGAACTGAACAAATTCGAATCCTGTAAAAACGGTGACCTATTTTAATTCGGTGGCACATTTTAACAAGTAGATTATAATGGAGTTAGAAAAATAAAAAACTGCTTATTTGAACCAAAATTTCGGTTTTTGTTTTCTCAAAATTAATCAAATATAATTGGTATATATATATATATATATATATATATTTATATATATATATATATATATATATATATATATATATATATATATATATATATATATATATATATATATATATATATATAATAAATATAATAAATGTGTCTAAGATTTTATATTGTTTTTTAATACAGTTTGGTCAAAAAAATCATAACACTTGAATGTTAAGGATATGAGTTCTCCATCGCATTAAATGCCATCAAAAAACGCTTAAATGTGAAGGGAAATCCGGCATGATGTCAATGATTCTGTTAATTGTCAATGATTGTGACTTGATCATTACATAATACGCTCGTCACAGCCTGACTACATGAATTATCTAACCGTGATTATCTTAAACAAAATATTAGATTACATGCAAGTATAGTACACGTACATATTTGCATCAGTAGTTGTGACTTATGACGTAAGTGCTATACCTACATATTGAATGAGGTGTTACAATTATCTTCCTATCGTGAAAATATTGAAAACATCTAATGTAAAACATTATACATTCCTTCGGCCACGAAATAAAATTCGTTTAAATGCTCGCATGTCAGTTTTTCGTGCAATAAATAATTAATTCCCCCTAAGCCTATAGGTTAGTTCGTATTTGTCTATTTTTTACTGCAAAATTTGGTCTTTGAAGTTTGCTAATGCGATCACTATCTTTTCTTATCTTATGACTTATTAATCTCTTTGTTTTTTCCTTTTTTATCTTGCTAAGATCTTACATTTTTGTAATTATAAAAACGGAATTTGTCAGCTGCTTTCGAGTACAGCAGATATTCACAGAACAATGTGCGGGCGCCGATATTGGGTACAGCCGGTAAGATACGTTTAAAGGCAAAGACCAAATCAGCGCGGAAACATACTCAAACACAATAGCAAAGATCCATTGCTGTGGACGTCAAAAGTTTCGTCCGAGCTTGTTGTTGTTGCCGACGGCATACTCAGAGTGGGCGGATTCCTGTCATTTTGAGAGACAAAGTCAAAGCATCATTAATAGGAACACATGCACTATCATCAGTTGTTTTTCTACGTTGGTGGACGTTGGTGGAAAAGACAATACTCAAAGTCTCAAACTTTGCCTCACAGAAAATATCATCCAACTGCAATTCATGCTAAAAAGATATGAAATGTGTAAGAACTAATGTTAAAGAGTCATTGTTGCTTTAACAATCCGCATCGAGTGGGCAGACACGATTTTGCAAAAACATTGATAAAGTTTCAATCATTCGGCTGAATTCCACAACAATTAAATTGTCTTCAAAGCGTTATTCGTAGGATCTCTTGCAAATCAAGCTAACAAATTATTCGAATATCGAATTATAGGTTTCGGGGATTCTTTTAATTAAACAAAACCAAAAGCATAATTACAATCATATAAGACGAGTCGACGACCAGGAGTAGACTGCATGTCTTGTAACATTGCATGCGCAGTTCATGACAGTTCATGTTCCATGCATGTAGGTATATACACTATTTGATACTCCTTTTTACTACATTTTCAACACTCTTTTTCCGCATTATAAATTCATTTCTGGAATATAACTGCCTGTAATAATTTGCGTATAAAGTAATAAAGACAGAAGCATACATATTCATCGAACCGTGATGCTGTAATTGATGATTTAGGAAACTTGGCTGTCACTGAAAAAAGCGTGAAGTCTCACGGAACGGAAGGTTCCTATCTACAATTCATAACATGAGCGTTAACAACACATCTGTCCCTGAAGACTGTTATCAACGGTTCTACGAGGATACCGCAATACGTTGGACGTTTCTGATTATTTTATTGACGTTTATGTTGTTAACTCTTATCGGTAACAGTCTGGTATGCTTGGCTTTGATCGTGGACAGATCTTTGCGAACACCAGCCAATATATTCCTGGTTAACATGTCGGTAGGCGATATTTTCGTGACAGGAACAATCATTTTTACGGACATAGCCTACTTACTACATTTTCCAACATGGCGATTGGGTTCGTTTGGGAATTGGGTGTACAATATCGGTTTTATTGCTCTCTTAATTATCCCGTTTTCGACGTTAGTTGCGGTGACGTGTGACCGTTACTTGAGTATACTGCATCCCTTCAGATATATTCAACTTGTTACAAAAGAAAAAGCTGGAATTTGTGTCGCAGTCATATGGATTTACACTGGAATCGTCATCTCGTTAATCAGTTTGTTTGTGTTCCAAAAAAATGTAAGCGATTCGGAGTGGCAGTTTATGCTTCCAATGAATGGCTACTATTTGGGGCTGCTTTTGTTTCATACTTTTATTCCACTTATTATAATAATTTTACTGTATTCGAGAATTTATACAGTCGCACGGAGACACAGCAGACAGATTAATACGCTGGGTGCTCGTTTTGGTGACAAAGCCAAAGGTCTGAACGTACGACTCATGAAAGCACATTTAAAAGCAACAAGAACAATTTTAATTGTTGTAATCGTGTTAGCCTTTTCCTGGCTGCCTTTCATAGTTAACGAGACTGTGACCTTGTCTTTTCGGTATGACAGCTGTACTATTAAACATCTCAGTGCAGTTACAAATTATGTGACTTATTTAAACGGTGCTGTTAATCCCTTCGTGTACTCGTTAAGGCATAGAAGGTTTTTTCTCGTGTTTAAAAAGATGATTTGTTGCACCAGAGATTATAGAGCGGCAAGAAACGTTGTTCCTAGTATGTCGGCTTAACCAAAATGACAGACTTTAGTGAAAAAAGTGGAGTTCAATATGGATATATATAACTTATAATCAGGTTTCTACCTCATTCAATCACGATAAAGAACAGATTACCGTTAAGAACTGTTGAGAATAAATGGACAGATATATAGCTGGATTAAGATAATTCTCGACGCAAAACCTCACCGGCGATGAGTGAAAACGTGGTGTAAATATCAACCACATGTCATTCATAATGATTTATATTACAGCTTATAGTTTATAGATTTAAAAATTCTGAAAACAATTGTCTGTTGAAAAAGATAAAAAGCAATATAAATACTCAGTGTTGTGCCTCTCAAAAAGACTTGTCATGACATATACTGTATTTTTCCATGTTAACATATTAAGCTCAAACTTGAGAAATATCAACATTTTTTGCTTTTCTCTTATACATCACATGTGATTTGAAACATATACATATTATATTTACGACAGATATTTATATAATTTAATACTTTTATATTACATATATTCATGCTTCATAACACGTAGTTTACTCTGTAGTGTTTCCACATATTTCTTAGACTATACAGAACTTTTTGCTATGACCCTTTCAACAAAACACTTCTAAGGCGACAGTTTGTTGTCTCGGCAAGCAAAGATTATAATAATATCTTTATCACGACATCAGCTATTAAAAGAAAAACTTCCCCGCGTCGTAGCCCGTAGGATGAAATAAACCTGTATCAACCCAATCCCTTCTCTTTCACTGAAAGTTATTATAAAGGCCCGTTAATTTACACTTGCGATTTTTGCTGCGATTTTCCTCTTTTAATAGATGTGAATGAGTAATTGGACCAATGCTCTGATGTATGATCAATAAGAGCTCTTATTTGAGCATCAGTATAATTAATTCAACGCGTTCACATCCATCAAAAGAAGAAAATCGCACATAAAACGCAGCAAAAATTGCAAGTTAAAACGGGCCTTGATGAATATAGTAATACGGTTGATTTTCTTGGCCAAAATTATGCTTTTGGCCCTCCTCAAAATTCGACATGCACTCAAAGTCGGTCAAAAACATCTTTACGTCCGCGACTATAGCTGTATTGTTATATTATACAGGTATTATACATATTATACAAGATATGTTTGTCACAAGGTCTTTTTACAGTTTGTAACAAGTTACTTGCATTTTTACATCGTCTTTGATGTCGTGGTCGACTTTAAAAAGCCTTTTATCTATTCATCTATTTATGATAAAGTGCATCGACAACTAATTACAACCAATCAATATGGTTTGTGAATAAAATCATCTGTGATGATGTGCCGATATATGGCAAGGAACTCTGCACAAATTAAAATTTTATTTACAGTAAAACGTGAACTGAGGATAGGTGTGCTTTCCCAGCTGCAGTGAAATGGTTTCCTTACGAAATATTTACAACCAAACATTCATGCACAGATTCAAACATTCATTCATTCAAACATTTCGAACATTCATGCACAGATTCAAAATATTCCGCTAGTTAACGATTTCTTTGCAACTAGTAATGAATAATTCATTTCACCTAGAACTCTTTGTCTCCAAGGGCCGGGTATCAAGCCCGTTTAGCTTAAACAGTGGATAAGTTCAAAATAGAAAGCATTTCTGCCATTTTATTCAACGAGCGAACTAAATGTTTTTGACCTGAATACAACGATACTGTCTATAACTACATATTTGGTGCATAATACTCAAGTTGACTCATTCAAGAGAGATGTAAGAGTGTAATTTCATTTTGACTTAACCACCATTTACGCTAAACGGACTTGATACAATTAGCTTAAACGGTGGATAAAACAAAGTTTAAAAATACTCTCATAGATCTTGTGAATGACTGAACCTGCATCTTATGCATTTAATATGTACTTTCATTGACAACTAAACTATTTGCATCGAAATATTTCAGCTCAGTTGTTCAATAAATAGATAATTTTGTTTTCCATTTTTAACTTATCCACCGTTTAAGCTAAACGCCATGGAAGATACAACGAAGACTCTAGCTTGGTTTATCTTAACTGCAAGTTTATTCCTCTCCAGGTTTTAATCCTTGAACTTTGTTAAAATATAGTCGACTGAACCTTAAGCTGTATACGACTGGCAAGAATCATCTGAAAAAGATTGAGGCGATGTTCCACTACCGCTGGCTTTACTTGATGAGGACTTCTCTGACGACTCATAACCAGAGTCTCTTGGGCGCATTGACACAATGTTTGCATGTAAGCCGTTCGAGTACATAGAGGGGAAAAAGCCATTTGAGATACCAGGGGGCATTAGGTTAAGGTTGGCTTGGTTGGGAACACCGCTGTGCATTGGTAATGCATTTGGAGCCGTGGCAGGCATGGCTCCATTCTGATTCTGTTCACCATTGACCACGCCGAATCCAGGCATGAAATTCATACCCATAACAGGGAACTGGGGAAAAGCGAACGGTATGTACTGCGGTTGCTGTTGATATGGATAGCTGGGGTATTGCGACGAGGGGGCCTGGAAACGAGCCATGTTGTTTGCCCCCGCAAACGGAAGGGTTGTGAACAACGGCATGTTGGGGAAAACAAAAGGCATATAGTTTAAGGAAGGATCCGCGTTTCTCGATGTCTCGGAATTGCGGGACGTTGCCAGGGTGCTGCCTGCTAAGCACTCTTGCTCTGTTCCAGACGTTTGCTCGGGTTTACTGATTGATTCATTAGAGGGTCGCGATTTCTTACAGGTTGTTGTGATTTCTTCAAGATTCCCGTCATTGTTGCGTTTGATTGGGGTCGAATCTATAGAATGTTTTTTATCAATTCAATTATCATGAAACACATTAATTTCAACGCGCGATTTAATCCCAGGGTTATCGTAAATCTAAATACCTCTACAAAAATTGGTGTCAAAATATGGTATAGTCATTTTTTTACCTGGCACAATTCTGGAGTCAGAACCGGTCCTCGCCTCCTCTGTATCCCAAACTCCGCGTTCTTCTCTACCAAAATTAGACAAGTCTCGCTCTTTCGTCTCATATCTAGAGGTTTGCCTTTTAAGATGTTGTATCAGTCTATAACATCGCCCTTCTGACACATCCAGTTCCTCTATATCCTGGAAGAACTTCGTCGCATCTGATATACATTGCTTAAAACCTTTCAGAAACACATTAAGATCAATTTGCTGTTGGTTCTTGCTTGCTTCATGGGTTCCTGGAAAACCGAAGAATTAGTTATTTACTGCTAAGATACCCTGAATAACAGCAACGGAAAATCAAAATGAGGGGGGGGGGGGAATTCAAGTTTCTAGAGGCGGAAAAAATTTAGGGCGAACTGAAGAAAAAAAATCAAAAAGTTCATCTATTGATGGGGTTTTAATAAGAATTTAAGTGGGTTTCCTGCAGTTTCTTGAATTTGTTAAATGTAGATTTTTAACAGAGAAATTATAGGCATTCAAATGTTTAGCTATGTAGATCCGAGCTTTAAAATGGCCAAATGATGGAGTTTAATCAAGTCCTTAACCAAGTCCTTTTCATCAAAATTTATTGCTATACAGGTTTTATCCATGAAAAGTTTTAAAAAGACGTTTTTTGAGGTAGAGAGAGTCGCACATTACAGAGGCTCTTAGTATGTTGCCTGAATGGTACACTTGCGAAACATTTTGATGCTAAATATCTCAAATATATCTGTTCAAATGTGCATTTGAAAAATTCCAAGAAGCTGTAGGGAGCAACCTTAAATCACAGACACAGATTCAATTTGGGTTCGCATGAAGCTGAAATGTTTGTGTTTCGGTGTTCAGACTGAACAAAAGTCAGCAAATAATACGAAATTGTACAACTAACTCACTGCAATTAATTATTATGCCTCGACTTCGAGTTGACCTCCACTGGAACTTATGACGTGACATAAAACAGAAGACTAAGGTAAGGGTCAAATTTTACTAACCTTGGATTGTTTCTGTGTGATTGGGAGTCTGTGTTGAAGATTCCTCTTGTTCTTTTTTAAACTTTTGTTGTGTCAAATAATTAACTGTTACTTCGAGAATCTCGGCTTTTTCTAATTTGCCATTATTCTTTTTGTTGAAATTTTCGATTGGGATAAGTTTGCTTAACTGTAGTAAACTATTATTGATTCGGTCTCGGCGTCGTTTCTCTATGACACGATGAGAACAGTCCACCTTAAAACGGAATAGACGCTTGTCATCTTCGGAAGTGGTCAACTAAGCTAAAAAGGGGGGGTTTCACCGAAGGGATGCAAAAATCTTAAGTTACAGCGGAGTGTATATCCAGGTCATGCTTGCGTAGCCAGTGCCAATCCCTTCAAACTCCACATGCACGTTTTGCAAAATGCTTTTTCGTGCTTCTTTTCAACAGTTGATTTTGTTAATATAATTCTTCCTGACTCTCGTGTGTGAAAGTAACGTTCTTCTGTGTCCATCAAAGCTCGTCTTGGATATGTGATGAACTGTTGTTGATCTCACTTGCGTGGTTCAGTTTCGGGACAAACAGTCGATTCCCTGTTAAACTAACGACAATGACAACAAATGCTTCTTTACTCTTGTCCAAGTGGGAAATGGTGAGCCAGGTCTCTTCAGCTTCTCAGAAGCACTTCAGTGCTTCTTAAGGCTCTTTTCCACCCATCACAAGACCAACGCGCAAAGCTCGCTGCGAGTGTTTGCATCTGATTAAAATAAACTGCCAAGCATTGTGACTGGGCAAAATTACTTGCAGTGAGTTTGCAAGTTAATTTCTGCGATGAGGAGGTGAGAGCCTTTAATCCATTCAAAACGTTGGTTAGTTAACGACTATCAAAAGACGTCGGTCTTTGTGCGTCTTATTTTGGCTTTTTTAAAATGTTGTGGAGCATCGACTTCTTGCGATCGGTTCTTCGAAACACCAGTCCAAAGAATGGCAGTATGTCGTTTAGTCCCAGATTCCTTCCTGTGAATCATTATTGTATACAATACCCAAGACTTCACTTCTATCATGTTCCGCTATGGAAGAGCCACAAACACAATGATGACGTCAACTACATTCTTCAAACCATCCGTCTTTGGGGTGCAGTTTGGACCAAAAGATTACATATAAGTGCCCCAGTTTGGACAGTATATACTAAAATTACCAGTATACTAAAATTACCAGTCGTACTCAATTTCGGAGCGGTGCCAATATAAACTTTGTAATATTTCCACTGCAGCAATCGTTTTTTCGTTTAGTCATTTTCACTTAGTTAAAAACCGCGTGACTGCTGAACGTTGTTGTCAGTGGTTGTGATATAACGCGTCTCGTTATATAGCAGGCTTCAAAGTTCATCTTTTCCAGAATCTGATTGGTTAAAACTACGTCACGTGAACGGCAAGAAATCCGAATGCTTACCGAAAAATCTTATTTGTTAGGTTTGAACCAGTTTGAAGCGGAAGTCGTGATGCTACGTCACATCACGAGACACATTTGAACTTCTGCCGAATCTATTTTTTAATTTTCTTAAAATAAAAAGTTTGTCTGTAAGTTTTGCAATATAATAAAACACTTATTGACTGATCTCTTCGGGAAACATCATGTTTTGTGGACCCTCGACCACCATGTTTGTGGTCTCGGGTCCACATTGGTGGTCGTATGTTCTTGGGTCGCTTCACGAAACGATATAGACTCAGTACCTTCGATTCTTTTGAGAATCAGTTTATCCTAGTCGCTGAAAGTTGCTTAGAGTAACCCACCTAGCGCTCAAAGTAGCGAGTAACATTTCATTCACCAGTTTGGGCGTATATAGTCTATAGAGTGAAAATTCCCGAACAAATTTTTTACTTACAATACAAATTGAGTTATAAACGGACAGTTCATTCGCACAGTCGCACACTTGAGGCCTGAACTTTCTGCGATACTCGCCGACTGCTACCAAGTCAGCATCGCCGATCATAAGCGTCTATCTGCGAGTGGTGAAAACCAGGCTTTAGTCTTAGATATATAGTCAAATTGAGCTACGTGTAGCCCCGCCAACTATAAGGAGTCAAACTTTTTTCTTTTTCAAATCAAACTTTTCCTGGTTGACGTCTTAATGTCTTGAGCCGTTGAGGAAGGTTTATTGTAATCCTCCTTTCATAATCCTCAAGCAGTGGCCGATGTTTTCTTCGACAATTCCATAGAAAATTGAATTTGCATTTGTATTTTGAAATTTAACTTTTAGAATTTTTCTATTAGTTTTCCATTTATATAACACTAGAACTGCTTTGCGAAGTTAAGAGCGATGTTTAAAAAGTTTATTCGATTATTGATAGATCAATTCTCCCTACATTGATCTGATAGATCAATCCATTGATAGATCAATTCTCCCTACAGGCCGAATATTGTAAGCATAGATGACATGAATGTACCGAGGTTATTTTTTCTTATTGAATGTTACTGCAAGCGGCTGGCAGGTCATCCTAACAACGTCAACGTCCACACATACATAGTACAGGTACGCCTACGTCCACGCGGTAACGTGTTTGAGTGTTTTCATTGGCCAAACCATATCAGAAGTTTGAGCTAATTCAACATATGAAAAGATAAAAGCGAAAGCGTTTTTAAAATAACGTCCGTGCGCACAGAGCTTTAATCGCACGAAGTAATCTATTTATGTGATCTTTTAATAATTTATCCACACCAGTTTTTCCAAACAAAACATGCGATTTATCATTGCCTGAATTAATTATCCTCTCAACCCAAAACACTCATACTTTGAAATGTGTGCTACTCAGCCAAAAGAACACATGTATGTCAGAATCATAAAATGAGGAAAAACAAACATTTTGGGAGCCAATTATAGGCTTTTATTCTTTAGTAAATGATGACTTTGGTGGTAAATGTAGACCTCTTGTGTATCTACATTGCAATTCTTCTTAATGCAGGCAGGTGTTGTTTTTTTTATGCAGCACGCATTTTATTTCATAGTACAAGGAGTGGCTAACTAGTCCCTGTCCTAAGAAGCCCCTTCTTAAAATGTACTACATTTCAGGTTACAATGCAAAATTAATAACTATTTATATACTAGCTGCCACTCTGTGTGTCAGACTAACCTTTGAGGTTTCTGTTGAGTGGGAAGTGACACTTGGAAAGTTAAAAATTAGTTTTTTGTTGGGGACCTGGCCGAATTGCATCTAGTATGAAAAACATCAACGCCAAGGGTTTAGCACTGAGACTTGCAAATCTTTTTTGGACCATAAGAATTCATTTACAAGTGTGTGAAATAGTGTTTTAAGACCAAGAAATAAAATATTATAATTTTCCAATTTTTATAATTATGGCCCTAAGGTCCCCTACTGCACTGATGCTTTTGTTTATAATGTGTTTCTCAGCATGTTCTACTGTTTACAATCTAAACAATCCCCAATATTTAGGACCACTAGGTAAATGTAACAATAGGAATTTGCAAGAAAATTTGAATGGCGTTTGTTTGCAGAAACTTCAACACTTTTTTGTATACAAGTGTTTGAGGTCCGTTGTATCAAAGCAGTCACTGAAATGGTAGAGTTTGGTCAAACATTGATTTGAAATGTATTTAGTTGAACAAACAAGTAATTCTAAACTAGACATTCATAATTTTCGACATTTATCTGTGTTTGCCCAAACATTTGCTGGACCTGAGGGGCAAGTCCAATCAATGACCCCAAATTACAAATCTTTAATTGTTACATATAAGTCATTAGAATTTCCCCCTTACCATGAAACAATTTTTTTTTAATACTGCTTAAGAACAACATCACATATAAACTATAATACAGATTTTATTAAATTCTAACACAAAATTTAATGTTAATGATAGTTAGCAAAGACATTTTAATTTATGTCCAATACAACAAACCGGATAATCCACAAGTCATACTTGTATCAATCAAGTTCTACATTTAATACTTGTATCAAATTCTACGTTTCATTACCTGACAACCTCATTATGTAATGTGGAATTGTAGTCCTGTTAGAATTTGTGCTGAACTTCGGTCAGAACAAATTTGTATATAGTAAAGCAACATAAACCCCAAAATATACTCTGCATGTGAAGTATACAGTATAGTGAGTATACACTGCATTAGCTTTTATACTTTACATTATAAACATTAAACTTCAGTCAGTATTTAACAAACCTTTTCCTTTTTCGATGTTTCTTCAAATATCTCTCCTCCTTCGGCTTCGGCAATGTTATTCTCTATATTTGCTTTAGTATTATTCTGCTCCATTCTCGAAAATGCCCAAAATAACGCTTAAATAAACGTTGTTCCGGATCTGGGGTTCCGTGTCTGTTTGAAAGTGACTTTTAGAAGAGGGTGAAATCTTCTGGACAATTGTTGCTCGCATTGACAAATACAGTACTGAAACTCAATTAATTCAACTCGCGACGGTACGCAACTTAAAAATGGACGTCCATACGCAAAAAACAACAGATTTATACAAAATATGTTCTGCATTTCGTATTGATATAAACTCATGAGAGTTAACGCGTGCTACGTACACGTGAAATTTGGCTTCGATTACACGTGAAACAAAATCGCACCGCAAATTTCCATATTGTAAATACTTCCGGCCTTTTCCAAAACATTCACGCGAGCGCTTATTCACTCACGCGATACGATTTTATATCATTGCATAATGCATGAACAACGTGTAGTACACGCGTAAAATTATCATATCTTGTTATTCTTGTAGCAACTCTGTTCACAAGCTAGTAACAAGTTTTTTCGCACTGTTTGTCCCAAGCTGTTGACGACTGACGAGATGGGACAACTTGTTTACGATAATAGCAACATTTGAGCAGTTCTTTTTACTGCTAGTGTATATCTATGGATTGTGGATCCAAGATATTTGGGCTAAATGCAATATTTTGAAATATGATATCAAAGTAAGTAAGAACGTTTAGCAAGGCCCAAGTTTGTAGAGAAGTTGCAAAATTTACTACACGCCATTGATGAACAGTGATCTCCACTACACGCGTAAAAGCGCACAAGTTGTAACAAGTCTGTTCACAAGCTTGGAACAAGATTTGTTTGCACTGCTTGCTCCAATTTGTTGTAACAAGTTTGGAAATTGGAACAAGCTGTTAACAACTTGTAGCAAGTCCGATTGCACTTTCAGACTTGTTACAAGATTGTTCTGACAAGGCTTATCAAATATGATACAACAAGATTGCTACGAACTTGACAGCAAAGGATTGTGGCAATATTGTCACATCATGTTTGTACCAGACTTGTTGAAACAGCCTTGTAGCATATACACTAGCGGTCAAAAATAACTGCTTAGCCTTAGCATCAAATGTGGTATAACAACTGCCTAAAATAGACAAAACACCTCTCGACCTTTCGACCTGAGGGTCTTCGTCAGGAGAGAATACATGTTTTGCATGGGGGCAAAACACGTGGATAAAAATGGGCCAGTAGAAAAAAAAATCAAAACGGTGTTTTGAAACATGTTTTGTATGGGGGCAAAACACGTGATAAAAATGGGCCAATGGAAAACAAAAAATCAAAACAGTGTTTTGAATACATGTTTTGTATGTGAGCAAAACACGTGATAAAAATGGGCCAATATAAAACAATGAAAACAATGTTTTGATTTTTTGTTTTCTATTGCCCATTGTTTTGATTTTTTGTTTTAAATGGGCTCATTTTTATTACGTGTTTTGCCCCCATACAAAACATGTATTCTCCCTATATTCATTTTCATACTAACTCGAAACGTCGAGAAGTGTTTTGTCTATTTTAGGCAGTTGTTATACCACATTTGACGCTAGCTGCTAAGTTGTTTGAAGACCCTGCCACGCTGCTCCCTGGTTATATTGCTTAGCCTTAAACACAAATTGATAAGAAAGAAGCAAATATAGGAAAGGGCTTCATAGGCATTTTGGATAATTCTCTAATTCCAAGCAATATTTCAATAATGCAATGCAACATCAGTGAATGCAACCTGCAAAACCTAGATAGTCAAGCAATGGTTTCGGGAAGAGAGACAATGAGAAATGGATTGGCCTGCACAATTGAAAAAACATTAACCCTTATGAAAATCTGTGGGACAATGTCAAGGGGATAGTGCAAGAGATGAATTAATTCACAAAGCGTCCATGATTTATGGGTTGCTGTAATAATAAATAACTGCGATACGCAGTTTAGCTGTTTTTTATTTTCTACCCGTTTTGTAAGGAATTCATCATTAGTGTCTAAGACCCTGTCTACACTAGTGCGTTTTGGTTTGAAAACGCATACATTTCGATGCGTTTAGGCCTTCCGTTCACACTAATACGCTCGAATACGCTCAGCGTATTCACCGAAAACGCATCGATTTGAATACGCTGTTGAAAGTGAATACAAATGAAAACGCACATATCGTATTAGTGTGAACACTTAAAAACGATACTTTTGAAAACGATTACGTCACACGCATCGATTGCCACCAGTGATTGCCACTCATTTCAGGTCTTAAGTCAGTTATCCGCGGCATAATTCTAACCAAACATGGCGGACGAGCACGATATGGAGTTTCTCATGCTTCTAGCAAACATAATTGTTTGTTTGTAGTTAAATGTTGCGTTGTATAACGCCATGATGGCTTTACACCGAAGACAAATAGCTGTCTTACGAGCATACATTTTATCTGGGCCTTCTCCAGGTCCAATTCGAGCAAAAAATCGGTCTTGCAGACCAACGAAAAGATTTAGGTATTTAGGGATAAAAATTATAAAGGAAGTGTGTACTGCCGAGCATGCGCAAATTACCGTTTTACGTCAGACTACGATCCGGTCATCGTATTCAAGCGTTTTAGTGTGAACAGTCGAATACGCTACGAAAATGGTAGTATGAACGCGAATCGATCGATGCGTTTTCGGTCTTGCGAAACCGCATACAAACAAAAACGCACTAGTGTAGACAGGGCCTAATCGCTCTTACGTGTAGGCTCATACCCATTATTGTTATGGTACAAATGCTTGCATGTCCAAGCATTCGAGTCGACACGTAAGCCACACTAAACAGCTAGCTTAGATCTTCGTCGCTTGACCATTCGTTAATTTTTGTTAATTTTATATATGGTTTATATTCAATGCAGTGCGGACAGTTTCGCCATATTAGCGCACATTGTCGCAGTTCTTAATCTTCTTCAGTCACTGGTGGGACGACGAAGCCAACCGGCAGATGACTAACCGACAACGATGAAGTTGAGTGTGAACACCAGTGTGAACCTTGTGAGTACACCAGTCATCGCATATCCCGACCCTCACATTAAACCATACGTACTTCATAGTGATGCTTGGAGAGCGGACTTTTATCAAGAACAGGGAGGTACCTTGCGTGTGATTGCATATGGATCTAGAACGTTGAGACCAGCAGAGAAGAGTTATCATCTCCACTCCGGCATATTAGAATTCTTGGCACTGAAATTGTCTATTTGTGAGCATTTCCGAGACTACTTGTACTAGACTTCCAGCTTCGTCGTCTATACTGACAATAACCCGTTGACGTACGTCCTTTCTTCGGCTAAATTGAATGTCACCGGTCTTCGTTGGATAGGAGAACTTGCAGATTTTCAATTTACCATACGTTATCGGCCGGAGAAAAGTAATGCAGATGCAGATACTCTCACCAGACTACCAGAAGACATGATTCAATACATGGGAGGATGAAATACACGTTGTGGTCAAGCGTCGTGGTGCCGACTGTCCCGTTTATGAAGTGCAGCCGGAGAGAGGCAATGGAAGGACCAGAGTCTTACACCGCAATCTACTCCTTTTGTTAGTGGATATGAAAAATTGTGGACCAGGTTAAGATGATTATTTGAGAATGAACTCATTTATCATATGGAGTGTGTAATAAACAGGTTCTTCATATCATGCATCTATTGTAAATTCAAGGTTTGAACTGATAGGTTTCAATGTACTTTACAATAACACTATCTATGAGTATATGCTGTGATTGTGATGTTTGAATGTTGAAATATATCAGTAATTAAACCTCTAACTTTGTCCCATTCCAATCTGTCATAATGAGCTCCAATTCTGGGGATAGCTAACCTCTTTACATTATTCTGAATACAGTGAGATTGCATTGAATGTAGGGATTGTTCCATTGCTCTGAGAGTACTTGAGTCCCACCATTTAGGCCGAGTTATCTGTAAAATGCATTGTCAGATCATGAGTATAACATGAGGTACTAACTGATGGTTCTTAAACTCATAAATTTATAGTACTTTCCATAAGTAAAACTATAAAGTGCATATACCAAATAATAAACAAATCGTTCTTTAGTTTGTAATACACCAATTTTTCCCACTTCACGACCTTCTGGGAAATCTAAACCTATAACCAAAAATCGAATAGAAAATTATATTTAGGCTTCCTTTACAACACTGGACCAACAACCTCAGCTTATGATAAAGTTAATTATTTAAGTTAGTGAATTTTTTAAATTCAGTAGTTGATATCAATGAATCAGATGTGAAGCAATCATAACAGTCTACTAATATGACAGTGGTGAAAGGGGATGTGGTTCAGGGTCACATCATTTTTAGGGGTATATTGGTAATCTTCAAACAACAGGGCAAAAGAGCGTCATGTATTTGTCATCATGTAGCAACCACCTAAAAAATTTTGCTATTAGTAATTATGACATCATATCCACAAATAATCAGAGGTGCAAATTACAGGAGAAGCACACACACGCATGATAGGTGGCTTCAGTGAAATTATTAGTCTGTATGTATTTTTTTGTGGTTATTATCTTGAAAAATTATGTGACCCAAAAGAAAATTAACCCCAAAAGAAAATTAAAATTTTCACCCCAAAAGAAAATTAAAAGATTCAACAGTGGAAGACTAGTTAATTTTCAAATCACATCAATTTTGTTAAACCCTGCATAGCACACAGTGGAAGGACATCACTGAGTCACAGGCAGCTTCTATGAACCAATGTCCAACTGTTTTTAGTTCATATTTAGTTCAACACTAGAAATTTTGTTGTAGTTGAGAAATGTTGGTCCAATGGAAACATACAGTCCCTGGTGAGAAATGTTGGTCCTATGGAAACATCCCTGCGCCCCAGAAAATAAAACTTTCTACAAATGTTGATGCCAGCAAATGGTTATATAATTGACAATATATATAGAATATAATACCTTTCTCTATTAACTCATTAAAGTTTCCATATTGTTTGAGAAATTGCTTAGCAATGCCTTTATCCATTTGAAAATCACAGCTCACAGAGTGTGCAATAGCTGTGTCAACAGGTGAAAGAAAAAGTTTCCAAGGCTGACCTTGTGTTTCCTCCAAAGAAAAATTGCCAGTATTTTCAACCTAAATATTAGGATGGATTATATACACTGTAACTTATTTTGACCAGCTTCCAAGATTTACTTTTGCAAGGGGTAAATATCAAGGGCTAACCATAAAAAAGGCAATTTTCCAGTGGTGTAGTAGAGTTATCTAAGAATTTTAAGTACCTTTACAGACTTTCATACATAAATGCAAACAACATTTTTGGCTTCAGTATACCTCAAAACTGGCCAAGCACAATTATGTTAGTTTATTGACGATCTGTATCAAACCTGAAGTAAACTGAGTTCACCTTTGTATAGCACAAGTTGTGCATTTGTGCAAGCAATTTTTTCTTATTGAGTGGTAATGGACAACCTGGTTGAGTCAACCAAAGATTGTTTACACAAATTGAAATTACTACATACCTGCGCAGTTGAAGTTATTGCATGACTTCTACACAAACTTCTCAAATACAAAGCTAAAGAAATATTAAAAAAATGCTGTAAAAAGCGTGAAACAGGCCATTACATTGACACTGATGACACTGATCGATCTTATTCTTAGCCATCTTAAATATAAAACTGTATATAACCATAACGTTTAAAGCATATTGAAACTTACATGAACAACGTAGAATATTCAATATAGGTTTTCGCATCTTTTCATCCACTGTATGCGCCTATGCGGTATCTAACTTCAAAAATTCTCAATTTGTGCACACAAATATATAAACATTATTTTTTAAAAAACCCTGAATTTATTATATTTCAAGAAGATGAAGTCCTGCATTTATAAGTGCTACTGCACCGCAGGCTCTTATTCGCACTCAAGGCGATAAATTATGAAATACAGATCAGTGGCGATTGGCGATAAAGAGAGAATCTGATTATATAGCTTAGTAACGCTCCCCAAAGACGAGGTTGAATCATGAAATTTGCCCCGTTCGACACTCACATCTAAATTATGGATTTCTGCAACCTTGTTTTTATGGCCATTTTGTTGTTTAAAGGCTGGTATAAACGAAGGGTGTTGCCGTCGTGCCAGTGATTTGCGTTACCGCGTGAAAAGTGTTACCCTCGCAGAAAAGCACCCTTGATGTCACGCAAGTAACGAATACTGCACAGTGAATCAAATCGAGTTCACTGTACTCCTTCCGGCAAAAGTTCCCAGCATAGAACTTATTAAGAAAACGCGCGCTCTTATGCCAAATTTATATATTTCAGCATGATGCATTTCACCAAAGGGTAACACAATTCACCAGGTAACGCCGCCAACCAATTTCCTCTCGGTTCTTAGTAGATTAACACGCTCTTACGTAAATGACACAAACAATTAACCTACGTCAACTTTAATCACGCTGCTTTAATAAAATATGGCAAGTTGTTAGAACGAATGCCCCAGACAGGAAGGTAAACATAAATCTGGCTGATAAATCTAAAGTCAACCGCCATTTTCGGTTTAATAAAGATAACATTTATTTGCAAACACTTTATTCCCTGTTTGCAAAAGACTTTAATCAATTAAATCCTTTTCTAAATGATATTCAATATTTTCTCTGTAATAATTTTAACGCTTCCAAACGCATTGCTTTTCGGCGAAGCTCATTTGACGTATTATTGTTACTATAATTTGAAGTTGTACTATCCAATATTCGGTAAGTACAAATATAGCGAAATGTAAAGTATTAATGGTCTTCGAGATCATAGAAATCTTGCGAGAACTTGACCGCCGTTTATAACTGGAATGCTAAACAAGTGAAGTGGTTAATGCCAATAATGGTTAACTTCGTGGTAAAATCATAATTTAAATGAGTCCTTTTCGAAGACAGAAATTATTAGATTCAACAACAACTATATAGGAGCTTTGCCGTTGACTATTGCTTTGTCGTACAATAGCGTTGGACTCTGAATAACAAAATGACAAATAACTCGCGCGAGAATTTCAATGCGTCGAGGAAACTTCACAATTCCCCTCCTTCTCAAAGCAAGAAGGAAATAAAAAGTTTAGAAACTCATTGGAGGCCTGCCAAATCGGTTTGGAAAAATCGAAAAAGCAAAAGATTGGATCACTTTGGTTTAAAAACAGTTGATACAGCCATGCAAACCCATCATGTCAAAGATGTTGAAACTTTACGTAAACGAGTTCTTGATCTGAGCCATGAATTGGATAAAAACTTACGACAGAGTATTCGTAGAAAGAAAGAGCAACCATTGGGACTAAATGCAGCTGAATTAACCTCTTGGACCAACCACGAATATCAAACGAAAGTTAATACTAGTATACCTCAACGACGGGACTGGATGGTTAGTTCAAAACTTGAGCCATTAAGTTATCAGCCAAGATCGAACGTCGACGAAAGGTTCTTAAACAACAAGTTATCTGTTTTAGGAAGCAAACGGCATCTTGCAGAACGTAACGGGTGTAGGTTTAAGGAAGTAAAGGAACATAGAAGGAATGTAGTCGAAACTAATCATAGTTCGACGTCAAACCACGCTCGTGATTGGGGAGAGGCATTCACAAAAGCAAGAGTTAAGAGATTGAACGAAGTCTTCCTGACCCTTTCTGAACCAAACAACATGAAATTTCGGGCAAGGAGACTTAAATGCTCATGTCTATTTCATCAATAACGACCTAATTTCTATTTTTAAATTGGTCTCTCTAAAAACTTAACCACCGATTTCCGTTCATAGTCAGTAGGTACTCATCTTCCTGATGTTATGATCTAGGCAGATATATATATAGGAGCTGCAATGCCAATGTTTCCATTTTCAGCTATCTATGAACATTTTTTTAAACTAATTATTCAATGCATGCTATATATCATAAGAATTGATGTTCAGTATATGAAATATGCTATTGTTTAATTTCAAACTAGTTGAATCTTCAAGTATAATTTCACTTCATACGTAAACCACCATATTTCACAAAACTGTCCGACCAAGCAGTTCCATCAACATCTAGGTCTTCATATTTTCTTCGCAAACAGCACTTACCCGATTTCACGCCTGATCTCAAATCTGTGGGTTCGAACGTGGAGTGATGTTCAGATGATTTCGATTTTATTTCATGTAAATTAGACTCCTCCTTCAAGTAACGTGAAAATAAGCCATTGTCCAAATTTATGTAATCTTCGTCAAAGTTGTTGTCCTTTTTAACGTCTTTAGAATGCCCTGGAAAGGGTCTATTGAGCACCATTCTCAAATATACTTTTTGTTTCGCAGTTTGAGAGTTTTTATCTGCCCTTTTAGCGGTTGGCAAAGAATAAGAGTATCTAAATTGCCTAACATTTATAAAATCTTTCCCTGTATGAAGAGTTTTATTCAGTTGACCGAGACAGTTATTGCCAGGTTGGTTTTTAGTTTTCATTGGCTGGCGGTTTTTCTCAAATTCAAAGTTTTGAGAGACTTTTAGTTTTGGCTTATGAAATTTTGTTAAAGAGGCCCCTTCCACACTAAAACTACCGTTACTATAACTATGGGTATACTTGAAATCCTTCAATGTACATAAATGCTTCCCATGCACTGATGCACATGTTTTTAACGGTGCTCGAATGCCCATCGTTGACCGTTGATATCCACGAACGTCCCAAAGTTGGGGAAAATAAATTTTAATGGCAGTTTTTCGCCCGTATAGTATAGATTATGCTATCTCTTGCAAATCATCCCCTTTGAATAGACTTTGAATGCTTTGCTTTTCGTGAGATCCAATTGAAAACAACGCCTTCCTTATTAGCCAACATCTTGAATAGTATAGATCTCTACCATACCAGAATAGGATAACACATTATTATGTATCTGTACACATACATAAATCCAGCACAGAATAGATCAAAACACACTTCTACGGTTTCTATTTCAGTTTTGCATGAAGTTATTACCGATCATCTTGTTTCAGTGCAAACGTAACTGTTAAACACGTTGCATAGAAACAGATCTAATCTACATAATTTTGATGCAAACCAACAAAACACCTACTTTGCAGGTGGCTTGAGCAAACAAATTGATGCTCGCATATTTAACTGTGTTTTCTCGTCAAATATTTATACTGCGGCAAGCATAAAGGAAGAAAGATGAGGCTGCATTTTTCGAAGTGAAATCTTGGAATTCCTAGGGAACATTTGTAGCAGTGATGTAATAGTTCATTGTAAACATTTTTAAAAATAGTTGTTGTTAAAACTTTTTTGCTAGTTCATTTCAGACCTATTTGGCAATGCGTGTATACATATCGCGATTGTCTATACAGCACTTCTGTAAATAATTTATTGGTTTATGTAGATAACATTCACGCTATTTTAAGAGTTTGAGTCTCTCTTTATACACTGTATTATATAATAATAATTCTCGTCATTTTCTCTTGAAAACACCAAGACGTACGCCCTTTTTTGAGGCAACTTGTCTTTCTTTGAGGCTTGTCTTCTTTGGCAATGCTATATATAGCGTGGCTGGGATAAATAGATTTATTAATAATGAAACAGTTGAAACTGAGCTCTAACAAACCATGATATTACTTGATGTTATATAGAAGTGAATGAGCACCTGCCAAACTACATCTAACTACCTGGTAGATGGATATTTATGTGCCTGACAGGTGAGGGCGGAGGTGTTTTAAGGCGGACAGGTTTTACATCAAGAGTTTGTCTCGCATTCGTGTGCACTTGAGTTTCGTCCGATTTCGTCAGCACGATAGATGGAAGTGTCGATACATCCGATGATTTTCCATCTCCGGTCTCATCATGACTCAGTCGTAATTCGTCTAGAGGTACATCTAGGTTTTCTGTCCACAAACATCGCCTCTGGTTGGGCCTTGACATTAAAATGCGACTACGAGGGATAAATGCATCATGAGTGATCACTGTGAACTGCTCATGACTATCATTATTCCCTATGTTCACACAATGCACCTGATTTTTTCTATCTCTGCCACCACTCCGAGTGTGACACCTGTTGCACTTAGAAATCCCATGGGTTCTCGACTCCTGCAACGTTCTCACATGAGACGAATCGCGCGAGTTCGACCAGCGTGACGAACCGCGCGAAGTCGTCACACGCGCGGAGTACACACAAGGTTCACATTTTATAGGAGTTTTCGAAACAGCGACAGGACCCAGGGAAATGGCAAATGCCTGAGCTCTTGGATTCATATCTGCCAAACATGTCTTCATATTCAAGTTCTTTTCATCTTGAACACTTCGCCATTTTTTCGTAGCTATCGGTGTATGCAGATAGCGCATTCGTCTTAATGCTTGGTTGGTCAAATAGGATGTCCCTGAACTCCAATTGTTGAGATAACTACAGCCAGAAAAGTTTCTTTTCGACATTTCCCACGAAAATATTCAAACGAAGATTCAAATTCAAAAAGCGTCGACGTTGTTGACTGATATCTACTCACTTGGGCTCAGGTTACTATCAACACACACGTTTGAAGCTTCAAAATTTCACTCAAAAAAAGACGATTTTAGCACTCAAAATCTCTTGCGAGGCTGTTTAAATTTACCATTCTGTTTGACAATTGTCTGAGGCAACGTTTGCGTTTCATAAACTTGGTATACACACAATTTGTCATGGTGTTAGGTTGTCACAACAACGCAACGACTCTGCTAGGGGGCAGATGAAAAGCTGTCAAAATCATTTGTTCAAGATCGTATTACATGAAAGTTTATTGACAAATGATTAACAGAGATTTGTAACGTCTTGAATTGAAAAGTTAATGATTGTATTTTGAGTTTGGTTTTGTACTGTAAGGTTGTCACAGGCTTAGCTGTGTCAATACTCTGCAAAAAAGTTGGTAAATCATTTTCTTGCTTCAAAGACAAAGTGCGAACGGGTTTTGCAACTTGCCACATCCAGCTGTTTCCATGAGGCTGAGGGCTAGCCTGGGCATGGGAGTTTTGAAGTGTATTGAAAAAAGCTCTCACAAAATTTTAACAAAATTTGAATCAGCTCTCTTTAGCCTATATGTGACTTCATTCACCATTTAAACCACATGCATGGCCGAGCATGGCGGTTGAAATTAGGATTTTAGACGATTTGAAATGGGTTAATTCCTAAACATGCTGAAGGTCTATTAATTATACCTGGTCAATTGAATTGACTCAATTCACCAGGGACCAGCTGTTCAAAAGGCGCCGGTTAGCTTAACCCTGGGGTAACTCAAATTTTCACATCAATCTTTTTAATTGCTCGTTTATGAAGTTGAACGTGTTTTTCCATAAATATTTTGTGGGTCAATGGAAATCTTATTTTGTAAAGTCTTGAAACAAACAGAAGTGCAGAAGCATATAAACTAAAACAGCGGAGTAAAATTTAACCCAGGTGTAGTGCTAACCTAATTTTGAACAACTGGCCCCAGGGCTTACAACTTTGGAAACACGCTGGTTCTCATCACGAGATCACCGCAAAATTTTATATAACTCGTTGTAACTCGTACTTTTTTAAAATAACAGACTATATCGACAGTAGTTATAGCCTATCATTTCATAATTTCATAAACGCATTGCTGAAATTGTGTAGCTATACATTCCCTATCGGTTTGATTAAAGCATGAATGTTTTTATAAACCCCCCTCTCTTGCCATATGTAATCATTGTAATGACGCATCGATAATCATGCCCCATATTAGACATGCCACTGGCACTGTGTGTGGCAACATTAGATATTAATTAAAACTGCAAGAGGCCAGCTCGGCAGACGGTTTAAAGAGAACAATGCGAAATTGCGACTAAAATTCAAATTGGATTACAATTATCAAGAACCGTCAGGTAGTTTCAAATGCCAAAGACCTGGTGTAGTATTTTCACGTTTATGAAAAGTGCTATTCTTTTTTAATGGCAAACCCTGAACAGTTTGTCTCATAACGCTTAGTTTAAGACTCGCTTTAAGACTTTTCATCAAGTCAAATCTAACTGTTATTTTTTTCTCAAAAACCAGAGTTCGTGTGTGAAGGTATGTCGTCATCAGGTTCGTGCAAACAATCAGTTTTATAGCGGGTGGTCAAATTTAGATGGCCAGAAATCCTTTTCATGATTGTTCGCCATTATTAAACTTGATTGTTCTCCATGAGTGCTATAATTTTTATTATAATTTCTATTAGGCTGCAATTAAAAAGTTAGAGGTCGCACTCACAAAGAATCCTATTATAGTGACATATACCGACAGTCGAGAAATATTACTAAGGGATCAACTGCATGGAATGTTGTTTACCACAATCAGCAAATTTTATCTTGCTCCAAATCGACATTTGATAAAGTCGCTCTGTCCTGTATACCATTGTATATAAGTTTAGCCAGTCGAGAATTAAAGCTGCTAATAAATTGTCAATTTCAAACAAGATAAAATATATCATTAGTCAACATTCAACATTCCAGTGAACTTTGGCTATAGATTTCTAGATGTCTCGACTGCGAGATGTGTAGAGAGAAAAACTTTAAGCTTCCGGCATTAAGGAGATTTTTTCTATTCAATGCAACCGAAATTATAAAAAAGGGCCAGAGGCAGGGGGCATATTGACTTATAGAGTTAGTTTTTGAGATATCAGAAATGCTGGACAAAATGTCCTTTTTTTGGACGAATAAAAATGCAGGAGGATACGAAAAAATACAATCGTAAAATGGTCTGACAGAATGACGGGGTTTACCTTTTTCACTCTAATAACTGCATGTTGATCACCGGATGGAATTGTGATCTAATCTTGACAAGAAAATACATACACCTCTTGACAGTAGACCAACTTGGGTGGCCATTAATAAACAAACAACACACATTAGAGGAGAAGAATTGACTACGTGCTACAGGCCATGGAGAGGCGAAGGGAAAGAAGGGTGAACTAGAAAGATCTTTGATAAACGGTCTAACACTTGATTAAAATATTCCTCGTTGCGCACACCAGTCTAGGGGCAAGTACATACTGATGGAGTTACTGGGAAGGGCGGGCGCTGCGTGGGGCAGAGGAGTTAAAAACTGGGGGAATTATGTGCGGAAATTATAAATTCTTTTTGGGTACTTTATCTGACACTCTGCACAGTCCATGCAAGTATCATATATCACAATCATAAAAAGACGGCACGACAAAAATATGCACCTAATTGAACATCTTCCTCTAATAAATAATAGTAATAGAACGAATAGGAGTGCTATTAATGGCAAAATCATATGAGTAACGAGTGAGTACAAAATCTGTTAATCACGAGTATGATCGATTTTGCCATCAATTGTACGACTTAATCGTTCTATTACTTGTTAATTGTATGCCTTCTGTAATCATCTTGTTTAAGGAAAAGTACCAAAACACAATTTAAGCTCATGAAGCGTGCGATTAATGATTAATCGCACTCCTTTTAACCAATGAAATTGCAGTATTTGTCCCTGATTACAGAAGGTATATAATTAAACATCTAATTGAAGGTATACTGATAAGGAGAGTTAGTATGAAGTCCTAACGAAGGCCCTGTGGTCGAAACGTCGAGAAGTGTTTTTGTCTATTTTGGGTAGTTGTTATTTGTTATACCACATTTGAAGCGTTGATATTTGAGAACGTTGCCACGCTATACTCCCTGGTTATATTATACTGATAAAGTATAAAATATAAATAGTCTCAATATACTCTCCTGGAGCTTAAGCTGAAACGTCGAGACGTTTTTGTCTATTTTACTTCTATACGGAGTTGCTCTGCGTTCTAATTAGAAGTTTTTCGGTACTGGTAATTATATAATTATGACTGTAGTATCTCTTATACCTGTCCTAAAAAAATTACGAACCATCAACCATCACATAATTCACTTATAGAGGTTCGTTCTATCAAAGGTTAAAATCAGATTAACGGGCATGGCTTTACAATATAGACAATATAAGCAACTGAAGATATTAATCTTGTGTTTTTGTTTTTTGACAAATATATACATTTGTTCCTGTCGTGTTCTAATTTTAGTCAAAGATTACAGTCTCTCTGTTATCTTTCATAACATAGGAGGGCCCCTAATTCTTTATATGTTGCCTTTGGATGAGAATGAGATTACTTCTTTCACTGCGCGCAAAAAAGGGACGAAAAAGATTCCGGAGGAGTTTTCAAACACTAGTCACCTCCGTGATTAAAACCAGGTGGAAAAAACAGCGCGTGAATAAAATCATGTCACACGCTGCCGTGCGTGGGAAATGCCATATGGGTAAATAAAAAGCAGGTCCGCATTCCTTAGCGTGATAAAATTTTTTTATGGCTCTTAAGGCTATAAGCGATAGGCATAAAACGTGTCTATCATCTCCATGACAAGCGGATATTAAAGCTCTGTGGTGTAAAAATATTGTTTATATCATATTATGAACCGCATGATTCAGACCATGTTTCGACTCTCGAGGTGGGTCGATTATTACAATTGCCACGACGTTATCAGCGCGCATTTCATGTTAATTTTTCCGGAAATAACTTCCTGAATTACTATGGTATTTCCTATCTGATATATAATAATACATTGTTTTGGCTTTTATAAACTCATCTGGTTGTCTGCCTCGGAACCGTGTTTAACTCGCTTGCTTTTTGGTTATTCTACGTAAGGTTTCGATAAGAAGAGTTTCAGATCATCTCGGAACGTAGGTGTTTCATATCTCGAAGAGCAAACCCAATTATGCAGTGATTTATTTTCAACCTTTGAACTTTTGGACAGAATATCGTTCGGCTTCATTAGTTGTGGAGTGAAGAGAAAACGACGTTTTATTTCAGACTGTGGCGTGTACCTGAGGCTAGAAATCTTCATGGGGTAGCTGTTTACTGATATATATACTGTATATATCTTTTAAATGAGCTTTCGTTTTGAGCTGTTTCAAGCTTGTTGAAAGTGGTTTCCCCATTCTTTGTATTCCCAAGTGGTATCAAAGAACAATTCCTCTTCGAATAATAGTTGTTTTGGTGCCAAAATACCGAATACGCTAAGTGGACTCTCGACATAATATAGTTCCTTGTCCAAGAATTGTTCGGTATTCCAGAATTTAAACGCGTTGCTTACAGTGTCGTTAAAACGTGGGTCAAGGCTTAAAGAAACATATCCGTCGTTGAGTTGAGTTAATATATTGGCTTCCTTGTTTTAACCCTTCTGGCGCATCTGTTGGCAATGTTTTTGTCCGGAATTTCAACAGATGATTTATTTGATGAGCAATGTTGCCCGCAAGATTTGCAGAGCAAAATAGCTCGTACTTTTACGACTGGTTTCATGTCGGATATCACATTTATAGTTGGTAAAGATGAGAAGCAGAAAACGTACCCAGCTCATCGATATATACTTGGAATTGGTAGTGCCGTCTTTCATGCTATGTTCTACGGATCCATGGCAGAGCATGGACGAAAAGTAGGTATTTGATATTGTTTATGCGGTGAATGCCTTCGGGAAATGCGAGCCGTTTGATGATAGTTAGCAAGCAAGCGTTTGCATGTCTTAGTCTCATCTTGAGATTGTAGGAGAGTGAAAAATAACCAGTTGTTATCAGGCGGAACGACTGACCAATCTGGTACCAAGAGCCAAACTCTGGACACGAGATTGTATCGGCTGGCAAACGAAACCCTCGCCAAACCTAATAAAATTTGAGCCGACTAAAAAAATTCATGTAATCTGACATTAGGCGAGCGATTGCCTCTTTGAATCTAGTCAACGGCTTGATAATTGACTATAGCTTGTAACTATTTCATCACGTCAATAACCTTATCACCACAGGCAGAGACTGTGTGACCTAATGTTGCGACTCTGGCATTGTTTACAAACAGTCAGCACATGAAATTTATAACTATACCCGACCGCAATTGCCATGTCCTGCACAGGCCATGAACGCACATATCAAAATTGAAATCTGCTGAACCGTAGTGACATAAAATTAGGGGAAATAATTATTTGGCATTTACGTTTTAGGTTTCGATACCAGACGCCGATTCTGAAGCATTTGGTGAATTTCTGCGTTATCTCTACACAGAAGACTGCAGTATCACGGAGGAAAATGTTATGAGCATTGTCTACTTGGCTACAAAATACCTCGTTCCAGCCTTGATGAAAAAATGTGTCAGATTTTTGAGGAAAAAAGTTACTGCTGAAAGCGCATTTGAAGTGCTCAGTCAGGCAATACACTTCTGTGCTGATGGCTTGGAGACAAACTGCTGGAGGGTTATAGACAATCAGTGTACGCAAGCTTTAAAATCCGAAGCGTTTTTGAAAATCGAACATTCAGTGCTTTGTGAGTTATTATCTCGTGAAACTCTAAATGTAAAGGAAATTGATTTGTTCAACGCTGTCTTGAAATGGGCACAGCATCAGTGCGAGAGACAGGAAATTAAAAGTAACGTCGAAAATTGCCGAGAGGTTCTAGGGAAAGCTATTACCTTAGTTCGTTTTCCAACCATGGCGCTGGAGGAATTCGCAAGTACCGTTGTACACGAATCCAAGATTCTTCCTCACGAGGACATTATCAACATTTTCCTGTTATTTAGTGGACAAAAACCGCACGAGGAGTCCACGAAATTTTCGTGCAAACCACGCAAACATTGCGCGGGAAAGTCGCGCGCTTCCCGATTCAGCCCGCAAAAAATAATCCGACCCAAGCGTGCAGGCAAAGGGTGGTGTTATGTGAACAATACCCTAGACGCGTTATGCTTTAGAGTTTCGCAGCCTGTTCTAATACACGGTGTGCGAGCTTTCGGAGATGACGAGAGAAGCGTTTACAGACTGAAAGTTAATTTGCTTCAAGGCAATCGGGAGTTATCTTCGAACGCAGGCGAATTTAAATCCGAAGTCGATGAGAATGAGATAAACCCAACAGGTTTTGATATAATGTTTCCAGAACCTATTAGACTCGAGGCCGAGGTTCTGTACACGCTGACTGGTAGTTTCAGTGGACCGCAGTCTTTCTATGGACAGGGGGGAGAGAAAGTTGTTATGTTAGAGGGGGTCGAGTTCATGTTCTGCAGCAGCGAGCTGTCGAATAATGGAACATCTGTTTTTCATGGCCAGTTCCCACAGATCATATTCTCAAAAGAATAGATACACCAGTAACATTATTGGGCTAAAATTTATAGATGAACGTTGTTGTAAATATTTTGTACAGTAAGAAAAACAGGACCTATAATTATTAATTTCTACAATAAATTCTCCTTTCTTTATCCAACAAGTGATTAAAAGTTATCAGAATAAATACAAAAATTGGAAGGATATTTCTATATTGAGTACGATAACCATAGTTAGGCATTTGCCAAGTTCTATAGATCGGATTTTAAGAGGGGAATCTAAAAGAAAAAATGGCGATCTGCCAAAATGGCTGCTTGTTAACTTTAGAACATTATACAGAATTTAGAGCGTAAAATCTCGTTGATCAAATCACTTACAATCGGTGTGAAATCTTGAAAAAATATGAAGGAGCGGGGGGGGGGTGTAGTTCCCCAACATGACAAATGATATTAACAAATGAGACCGAGCTTCCCCCCCCCACCTCCAATACATATCTGGTAGTCCTTCAAATTCCTAGATTGGATTACTATTGCAAGTGATTGTCAAAAAGTTTGAACAATCGTTGACTACAGTAAAATACGTTAATGTTTAAATAAAAATCCTTTTTTAAGGAGAGGTTTAAATCGAAGTTTCGTTCTCATCATTCACAACAATCTCACTATTTGGTTGAAAAATAGAACTTCTATCATCTTTAAAATACTTTTTGCTTCCTTTCGTGAAATACTCACTCGTCGAAGAGTGCTTTCATGTCCATAAACGATTCCTGAATCATATCCGAGAAACGACTCGCGCTCTGTAAAACAATTGGTTAAATAATAATTACGCATGCAAAACCGACGACAATGGCGGATATATAGTGTATAAGATACCATAGTTGCGGGAATCCAGACGGTTTGAAAACTAAAGACACGAATAAGAGGCACTGGCAACTAGGTAGTTTCGTTAACTCGTCAATTACAGACACTCCATACCCTGTGCCTAGTCATAGTGGAGTTAACCCACAGTTAATTAAATAATTTCTTAACCACAGGCCGGTTTTCGTATAGTATCGGACAGTCTCGAGCTGATTATTCGTCTAGTACTGAAGGAGAAAAAACCAGAACAAGACCTGCGAGTAGGATGACTGAATCATCTGGGAAGCTCAAAGATTATCAGTGAGAAATGGAGTATCTCAATTCCGATTTAACTCACATTGATTCTCATATTTTGCATGCATGAATAACAATAGGACTAAAGAAAAGTGCAGGTAGGCAGGGCCGTAGCTAGAAGCTTAATTGGGGGGTGTATATTCATAAATTCATAAATTCATGTTATGCCCGACTAATTTCTACTATCCTGAGAATCATGCAAGCTTTATCCTTGTTGCTTTCTCCTTCCCACCGACGAAAGAATGAATATTGTGGAAGAGTACATACCGTCAGCGGCGATGATTTCTTGCAGGTTATATGCACGATTAATGTGTGGCCTGTTATAAGATAGGATAATCCATACCCATCGTCCGCCACCTTAAACGAGAACAATTACAACCATTACAGAGGACATATAGATAACATGTTGATGGTCGTGACGTCCACCTGAGCCAGCACGGTTGAATGATATTTTAATCTCACTTGTATTTGAGAAGAATTTCATTTACTATAGTACTCGACCAAGTTCTTACTAAAATATACAGGGCAGGTTCGATACCTGCCTAAGGATCGATAGTTGAAACATTTTTCTGAACAGTTCGTAACTTGAATTTTAGTTGAACCGTATGATTCCAACTCGAAATTAAAACCCTAAATACCTTTTATGTTTACTTTTTACGTTTAAGATCTCTTTTAGAATATAGAATAAATGCAATTTACCGGTCCAAATCCACCTCCTCCTGGAGTCATGCTCTTCTCCTTGTTGTAGGTGGCAATCTGCATTTGATCTGCAGCAGTCTGGACGACCAAAATCAATAGTCAGTCAAAAAAATATTGTAGATGATAAACAACGTAGTGTAATACGTGACAAACCTGACTTGTTGAAATATGCCATGGTTCGCTGAGAATCTAAATTGTAAAAAAAACAAATGAAAACATTGTGGAACATATCGCACGATCATCAAGATAAAGTACAAATATTAAACGTTACCTCATTAAGGAATGGCGATTCGATCTCCAGATATTTCGACACGACATAAAGACAAAATAGATGTCGGTCGACCCCTTCTCCAGCCATTGCCTTTCGAATGTTGACTGAATGCGTACCACAAGCCTTGATCAATGAATTCTTTTTTTCCTCTTTCTGCAAAATCAAAATAAGGAGATGAAAGACTATGCCTCAAAATCATGATATACCCTCGACATCACCATCTACAATAATATACCCTTAACATTATCGCCACCCCATATCCTCAACTGATTCATCACCCTATACCCTTAACATCATAAGCAACATATGTATATCCTCAGCATTACCACACAATTCCTCGAAATCATCACCACATATCCCCAAATCAAGATCAACAATCCTCTCAACAACATCTTTCCAAAAACATCATGATAGTCAGGACCAGGGCCGCCCAGAGGGGAAGGGGGCAAAGGGTGAAATTAGCCCCGGGCTCTATTGTTGCAGAGCCCCCCAAAATACTACAAGAATAAAATTAAACTATTGTTGGAAGTGTATACACCTCTTTCAGAAAAAGTTTCAGGTTATTTATTGTTCAGGTAATGCAATATATATTATTGGATAAATAGAGTGCTCTATTCCCAAAATTTACCTTTTTACGCCTCTCAAGATTCAGGTAATGCATTATCCCATTACTGTAGTTCAAATTTATATTAACTTACTATGGCGTTTTTTTATTGCTGTGGATTTTGGGGCCCCAACGAGAATTTTACCCTGGGCCTCCAAAATTCTCTGGGCGGCCCTGGTCAGGACCAATTTCCTTAACATTACTACAATCGCTAATAACTCATAATCATCATCATAATAAGAATTCATCATCATTATCAATACTCTCAACAACATTGCAAATACTATTAATATTATCAGCACCATTACCATCAGCACCAATATCATCAACATCACCAACACTTTTGCAGTCACCGGTGGTTACCGATCGGACTCACTGTACTTCAGGGGCAGGTTTTTCAAAAGCCGTTTAAGCTAACCGCGGAGTAAAATTTAACTCAGGGTTAGCGCTAACCTAGCTTTGAACAACCGGCCTCAGAGTTCTGTGAGCGATCAATTTGCGTTACATTGCAATTGCGTGACTAGAATCATCATTGTATATCTTACCGATGTATTGGAATCCATCATTGTGTGGACAAAAGCACATGAGTCTGCCGTACAAGGCCGTACTGTTTCAGTCCGTCCATCCCTGAAGAAAACACATCATGAGGTGTAGGGAACATGTTAAAATCAAGGGGGAAGGAAGCTGATCACATGTCACAAGGTGTTAATCACTCGAGCATTCACAAAATGATATTTTTAACAACTGAAAAGCGAAAATCTGTTGTCACTTTGACTGTCGTTGTACAGTAGTTATTGCTATTATCTCAAACATTTAATTTTTACGCGGGTATGGATAGCCAGTTGCTGTTTAGTTATTCTCGCTAATACGAATGCGAATTTACTTACCTATACAGACGTGTCATAGCAGATTCGTACGTCAGTTGGAACTTTTGACGTTCCTGTAGTGAAAATATAATTACAATTTTTTTTAATATGATCATCGAAATTAGAGTTCAAAGGGTATGTATTCCAACGTGGGTATTGAGGGGAAAAAAGTGACAAGAATAAAGCATATAATTTAAAACTTAAAGCATAATAAAAGCAAGCATAAGGTATAATTAAAGCATAAAGAATAGGGGGCATTGTAGTTTGGGGTGTATGCTTTCTAAAGCCGGGTAAATTTTCTAATTTCTAGGGTTAGGGTTAGGGGTTAGGGGTTAGGGTTAGGTTTGGGGTTAGGGGAACAACAATTAATGAACCAGTCATCATCAGTTTCTTCTGCTACTTACTCTGTAATTCGCAAGTTGATACGCCATCTGGACAAATGCATCAGGACTAAAATGCACAGAATTATTAATTCAAAAGTATATACAAATTTTGGTAAATAAAATTTAGTTACATGCATAACGTATACTTATTGCATCGATGTGGAATAAAGATTGTGTCAGTTGTCAAAAACAGTTTAATTTGTATTGTATTTAAGTTGTGCGATTAACAAACATTAAACATTGATTGGTTTTGAATATATCATTCACAAATTATTGTATTTTTCAAAATCATTAAACAGCAAACTCACCTCAAATGAAATTTCTTTATTGTATCTTTGCCTACAATAAAATATCAATCATTGCTATAGGTGGGGTCAAGGTAGTTATTCAAAGGAGTTCAAAATTCTCTAATATTCCCTGACAAGGGCATGAAATGGCACTGCAGACACATTACAGTTTTCGCTGTCTACAAGGAGCATTCAGCTTACTGGCGAGTATACAGGGAGTACAGGAGTAGCTCGGTAGTAATACCTGGTAACTAGACAGTACACACGCAACCCCTCCCGTCCCCACAACCCCTCAGGTCCCCTGACATTAAGGCGATCAATTGCTACCCATGCGAGAATGACAATTGGAAAAATTACCAAAGTCTTCGTGAACAAGAACATGCAGATCAAGGTCCCCAATCAAAGCAAGATTATTTTGTTTCGCCGTGTTGATCCTCTCGACGCACTATATATAAAAAAACACTTCTTAGTATTTTTTCCAATAAATGGACTGGAAAGGTAAGCACTTCAGAAACGATGGAGCTAATCAAATATAGACGAAGTAAGTTGATTTTAAGCCTGTTTTAACCAATGATCTAATAGAGGATCAGTAGTTGCACTTGCTATTGTTGAGTGCAATTTTCCTTTTTTGGTGGATGTGAACGAGTGAATAAGTTACGCGTGTTCATATAAGGCACGCTTATATATCTAAGTATTCATGATTAATCGCTTGTTTGCATCTACGAAAAGAACAAAATCACACCAAAAGTCATAGCAAAACTCTCTTATTAAATGGCTCGCATGGAATCTTCGAAAAAAAACGGTAAAATAGCCAGATAATATATCAAGGTAGTTTTGTAATGAATTACATACAAATTCAAAGCTAAACCAAACCTTTTCTGGTATTTCCCACTTTAACCGTTCTGGAGGGTTGAGTGAATGTTCTGCTTCACCCAAACAACGTCCGTTTTCATCATAACCCAACTTGTTTACTTCGCAATCAGTCAACCACTCAAAACACTGAGACATTATCGGAGCATCAGCCCTAGAATTATACAATGAATATTTAAATTGACGATTTTAGGAGAACTTTCGTTCAACATGTGACGGTTTGTAACCTTATGTTTCACAGTTAATTTAGCAGCTTTTTACTAGGAGCAGCGTTTTACTGGGAGCAGCGTTTTACCAGGAGCAGCGTTTTACTAGGAGCAGCGTTTTACTAGGAGCAGCGTTTTACCAGGAGCAGCGTTTTACTAGGAGCAGCGTTTTACTAGGAGCAGCGTTTTACTGGGAGCAGCGTTTTACCAGGAGCAGCGTTTTACTAGGAGCAGCGTTTTACTAGGAGCAGCGTTTTACTAGGAGCAGCGTTTTACTAGGAGCAGCGTTTTACTAGGAGCAGCGTTTTACTAGGAGCAGCGTTTTACTAGGAGCAGCGTTTTACTAGGATAACGTGCATCTTTAATCACATACCATGCATGCTCCACGTTGACTCCAAACTAGAAAAAAAAAGTCGTTTTAAAAAAATTCTGATTGATGAAACGTGATTAATAGTGTAGATGGGGATAGGAATAGCATAAAAGACAAGGGCCGCGAATCACCGGCCGGCAGATCATAAAGCCCGGATACCATACATAATATATCCTGCGAGTTATCCAAAAATATTATTAAATATATAACTTTGTACGAAAGCTGTACGAGAGCGGATCAGAGAGTGGGCGCCTCACTGTTTATATCAATAATTTTTGCCGCCAACAAATGTGTTAGATCCGCAAACCCCCAATGACGTTTCCGCGATCAATGTATCTGTGAGTGAAATCTCTTTGGTGAAATACATGTCGTTTGTAAGACATAAGTTAGAGTTGTCTGTTTTAAATGGTAGAACGTCTGGACTAGGGTAGGGGTATGGCAAATTAAAAGGTAGGGCTCAATTTATAGCGTGATGTTACAGTTAGATTTTAGGGTAAGGGTTTACCAGAATGTGATACGAGTGTCTAGAAAGCCCCTTTTACATAACGTCATGACGCCCCTTTTACATTAGTTAAAAAATGGTGTTGATGATGACGGGTGATAATGCCAATAGATTCAAATTTCACCTTGCCGTTCTTGAAAATAATTATGTTGAACGATTTGTCAAACCAAATATCGTCACCAGAGCCATGCAAAGCATACTTTGCAAGATCATTGTATTTGGTTGGGTCGTTCTATGAAATTCGCAATAAATATTATCAACGTTGATTGCTATTTTATTCTCAATGTTATGAATAGGAAAATTCTAAGAATTTCCGTAAAGCGTTGGACTATACCTCGTCAAAGTAATGTTCTTCGTCCGAGAGAACGACTACAAACGCACTCTAAAGTGAAAAAACGTAGAAAACGTCATGCTTTCATGTTTATGCGACTTTCATGTAATTTGCATTGCCACTATCACTATCAACGACCTTCGTACAACAATTGTTGTAATTATAAGAGTTCACTGAAGGTACACGGCGAAGGGAAACAAGAGACCGAATTCTGAGCTCTTCGTCTACGATGGCATACATATGTACGTATAAATGACCACGAATTTTTCACTCACAGTCTCAATGGTTTTCAGTGAGATATGGTTGACCCCAGTATGGAAAAATTCTTCACGAGTCTCGGCCCACGTTTTCCTAAAATTAGCAAGTTTTGTATAATTTAAATTACCATGCCCAAAGCATGACCAATCTATATATTGTGCCTAGAGCTCTAACGTACTTTCGTAAAACCTTGTGCGGAAACGACTTTTGCCTTAATGCACATGGACCGTGCAAACTCAATTTAAGGGGATGACCTTGCGGAATAAAGAGTAATCCACCAATACTAACGTGACCGCTGAAAATTGTCCTCATATATTTTATGAAAGATTTTTCTCTCACCTTTCATCTCCTGTCATTGCTGCTAAAGATCCTTCACCAGGATAAGGAGAAGATGTGTCTTCTATTATTTTCTCTAATTGTCTGTAGATGAAAATATTAAGGTAATCAAACATTATAATAGTATTTCTCATGTAATAATATCACATGTTTACACTAAACAGTACAAGTAGAGAGTTGAGAAGATGAAAACGATAATTATTAACTTATACCTTTCTATGTCTTTTGGTTTAAGTAAATCTCCTTTGTGGTAGAGATTTAGTTTAAAATATCTGCCTTTATGTAAAACCACCATGTGACTGATGGAGTCATGTTGACTGAATTTGTCTGAAGAAAGGAAGACAGTTTTCACAATGGCAAAATGGTGCGACGGTGATGATGTGTACTAATAATGAAAATATTGGCAATATTTCATAGTGGGGGCAATTTTGTGTTTATCATGTCATGACAATATTTATGGTGGTGATAAACAAAAAGGGTAGCAGAGGTGATTAATGGGCAATGAATGTATTATTGATGGTCAATAAAGGTGAGATGGGCAATAAAGGCGATTGGCAATAAAGGCATTGTGATGGTGGGGGTGATAGGGAAAGAAAGCACTGTGATTGTGTAGGGAACAATAAAGGCAATGTGATGGTGTGGGTGATGGGCAATGAAGGCATTGTGATCATGTGGGTGATGGGCAATGAAGGTGCATTGTGATGGTGATGGGCAATGAAGGCATTGCGATGGTGGGTATGATCGGGCAGTGAAGGCATTCTGATGGTAGGGATGATTGGCAGTGAAGGCATTGTGATGGTGCGGATAATGGGCAATGAAGGCATTGTGATGGTGGGAATGATGGGCAATGAAGGCAGGGATGGATCCTGCCTGATTTTGTAGGGAGGATTGGTGCGCATGCCCCCACACATCCATCCCTGAATGAAGGCATTGTGATGGTAATGGGCAATGAAGGCATTGTGATGGTGGGCATGATGGGCAATGAAGCCATCGTGATGGTGGTGGTGATGGACAATTAAGCGATTGTGATGGTGGGGGTGATGGACAATGAAGCCATTGTAATAGTGATGGGCAATGAATGCATTGTGGTGGTGGACATGACAGGTAATGAAGGCATTGTGGTGGTGGGGAGGATGGGCAATGAATGAATTGTGATGGTGGGGGTGATGGGCAATGAAGGCATTGTGATGGTGATGGACATGATGGGTAATGAAGGCATTGTGATGGTGGGGAGGATGGGCAATGAATGAATGAATTGTGATGGTGATGGACATGATGGGTAATGAAGGAATCGTGGTGGTGGGGAGAATGGGTAATGAATGAATTGTGATGGTGGGGGTGATGGGCAATGAAGGCACTGTGATGGTGATGGACATGATGGGTAATGAAGGAATTGTGGTGGTGGGGAGAATGGGCAATGAATGAATTGTGATGGTGGGGGTGATGGGCAATGAAGGCACTGTGATCTTGGGGGAGATGGACAACAAAGGCATTGTGATGGTGGGCAGGATAGGCAACAAAGGTAATGATGGGCAACGAAGGTAATGATGGGCAATGAAGCCATTGTTGATGAGGCTGGGGTTAGATGGGTAATGAAGGCAATGTTGGGCAATCAAGGCATTATTGATATTCAGTGATGGAACACTAAGCTCCTGTATTATGTACATACCATGGTCCCTTCCTGGTATTCTTGTTTGGTTAAACATGAGTCTGTATTGTGTTGAACAAAGTGGAACTAGTTTGCTCATCATTAACTGTGCACAAAGAAACATCCCATATCACATTTTGCATTATCACACCAGTGGCCAACCCCAGCTTCTCTCACACATTTAAAAATCATTTATACTTACAGGTTTAAGTCTTTCTTTTTCAACCAGCTTACGAAACAAAAAGGCAGCATGAATCAAATTTGCTGCTTTTGATGTTTGTTGGATTTTCTTTTTCATGAAAGGACCATCCTATCGAAAGAAAAAAAAGTGTTTGGTAGCAATTGAGGCTTAGAAAACTTTGCTAATATAAAGCATAATTATGTGTAACTTTAAACTTTGCCAAAGGAAAACTTACAACACCATAGAAATTGCTATTTATCATCAAAGGACCTCGTGACTTTAGGTAGACAAAATTATTCCACCAATCTGTGACCTAGTAAATTAGTTTATATTTAGAAAGGATAAAGTCAGATGATGGTCAAGTCATGCTATCTCATTTTTCTCTGGGGCAATAAATTCAGGGGCAACCTACCCAAGCAATATTTAAGATTTTTAATTCTCTGAAATGCATTCACATGCAGTTTTGGACCTCGGAGAATAGTTAACCTGGAGGTTTGAGTACATCCATGCAATGTGTCCTTGACAATTTTGAATAGATGGGAAATTGGAAACAATCAAAAGAAGAAAAAGGTCTGAATTAAGTATAACATAATGACATAACTAATAGGTTACTATGATTTACTTTAGGGTGCTTAAAAATGGTACTGTGATGAATAGTGAATTGCATTATCCCCATAATAATGGCACTTTACAAGAACTTACATAGTTATTTGCCCACCATGATTTCAAGACTAAATAACGCTGTAGTTTCTTTCCAATACCATTCTACAAACATATATGTACTTCAGTACCAGAATGTGTTTTCATTATATTAGTATATAACAACAGTTCGTAGAATTCTTATAAATGGTATTCTTGTAATAAATACAGTTATTTATACTTTAAATTCAAAAATGTACCCTGAACTCCTCAGTTAAACTTTCCACTCTCTTGAATTTTTCTTCAGGGAAAATTTGTCTCACACTTTCCAAATGCTGCCAAAGAATAAAGCCATGAAATAAAATTGAATAAATTTTTTTTTCCAAAAGCGATTGCTACAGGCAAGGAAGGATGAGGAAAGTTTTGGAACCACGGTTAGTGTCAAAATCTCCTGCCCTCATAACAGTTTTATTTATTGTTGCAATATTGTTTTCAAAAAAACTTCATTAACAGAATACGATTCAGGCAAAAATTGTCATGGTGAGTTGTTTTCACTTTTTACCTTGTCAAGTGTAGTGTCAAGTGAGGGTACAGGTAGCCTTGGCAGTGATTGTTGGAAACTATACAGAGTTGGATCACCAGAGGTAAACAGTTTGACAATACCCTGCAAGACAAGAAGTCTACTATATTACTTTTTTCCAATCACAGAACAACCTTAGATGGACCTATTGTACTCTAAAACCCTCAACATTTTTTTCTCTATATTATATTAGAGACAACTTGGCTGGTATAGGACAGGGTATGAGAAGCTGGGTTTATTGAGATATACCTAGAAACTGGTGGGTGGGATCTTTTGCCATTAGACAGGAACATAAAACACAACATTCTCTTGCAAAGTCTTGTTAAAAAGCCCACCATTGGTAGTGTGTTTTAAACACCCTCATATCTTGTTACCCCCTCTTGTTAGCCAACTTTCCCTAGGTCTGAGGTTCAGGGCAAATTGCCATCCTCCATTCCATGAAATCTTGGACAACATTTTTCAATGGTTTTTCATGATTACAACAAGAACAAAATAGGCAATCACAATCAAACATTTTAATCATATAAATTTTGTTTATTACTTACAGCCCATATCTTGGATTTGAGAGACAGTTTCCTAAACAGAAAAAAGACCTTTATCAATTGAATTGTAAAAATTATATACTGGCTTAGCATGATATCTCACCTTTCGAACAATATGCCTCGATATGTGAGGAGTGCTCGAAGAGTCAGCTGAAGTAAAATTCCCCATACCATCCATAATATAGTGGCAAGTATTGTCACTCCAAAACATATTGCAATATATGGGCTTGCTTGAACTAAGCTAAATATCAAAAAAGTAATTAACAATTATTAATGTTTGGATAGTAAATTTATTACAAGCATGCAATGAATATTACCATTTTAATCTAGCTGTGTAATGACTTATACCAGCCAGCAGTTAAGACATAAATCATAGTTAATAAGTTAAATTGTCAAAAACAGATAAAAAAACAGAATGCTTTGCATTTTGCTAATTCCCAATCTTATTACATGTCATGCAATATAATATTTTTTCATGAACTCACTGGCTTTTAAATATTTTCAGAATATTAAAGCTATAGCGCAAGAATTGTACATTAATGTAGTCATTTGGTAGTTAAAATGGTACTTATTTGTAATTTTGTACCATGCAGCAACAAAAGAACAAGTTCCAACACATGTGGATTAAAGATTTTTATAACAGGATCAAATTAACATTAATTAATCATCAAATAGCCAAGACTTTGGACAATTATTTACTTTATTACTGTCTTATTATAATGAATTATATGTTGGACAAATTGCTAATAATTGTTCTATTCTTGTGGCTTGTGCCCCCTCCTTTCCCCATTTTCCCCACTCTACCCGTTTTCACTTAAAGTGGCCTAATGGAGATTACCATAATAATCTATTTTTATCAATTTTACAATTTTACTTGAAACAATAATTTCACTATCAAAGTTTAGAAAGCATAAAACATGCACTGTCGATTCTTTTACATAAAACTAAACAGAAGCTAAAGTAAAAAGATAGCATGCACATGTCAAAAGCTGGTTAATTAAGCAACACCTGCTGCGAAAATTCCTACGCCAACCAAAAGCGCATATTTATATAGAGACGTGCTTGAAATATTGGTTTTGTAATTGGTTGTGCAATACGTTTTTAACTTCATTAAAGAGAAATGAAGTAAAGTTCTCTATTTGTTTGATATTTCCTAATTTTACGTCTGTAAATTTTGTTTTACTTTCCATTGAACTTGCTCGGAGTTGCTCCACTCCAAAAATTAGAACAGCCATGTACTTAATTACACCACTTGTTTTCAGTCTTTGCACGCATTGCGTCTTCTCCAAACGTCGTGTTTCGAAAATAAAAATATCTAAGTTAGTTTAGTCATTGCCCCTTTATTTCAGCGCATTTTGATTGATATTTTGCGCGTTTATTCGGTAATATTCAATACTGAAATCAATTGTTTACATTTATAACTTGTTAGTTTTTTGTATATCTACGCGTTTGAGGGCGACCTTTGCTCCCTAGAATACAGAGGCGTATATATATATATATATATAAGCGCCCTGCTTGAATATACACGCCAAAACATATAAAACGGTGGGTTTTATGCCAGTTTACTTAACCATACTGTGCTTAAAAAAACGAAATGACGCACTAAACTGACGGATGCCGAAAGTTTCTTAAATATTAATTTTATATGCACATTAAACTTAGCTCAGTTAGCTGGGGGCATATTCATACAAAAAAATGTAGCAAATATACTTTCTAATATGAATTCGGCGCTTTAGAGACAAAAATTACTTCTAAATTCTAATGTAGCCGATTAAACCTTATAATTCCTGAAATATTTCCACCAAAATAAAGCGGCCATGCTTCGATCCAAGGTCAGGTTTTTAGTATTTAAAATACAGACGTATCTGTATACAATTTCTGTGTACAATAATTTTCGACATCTAACGGGCAAAAACGCGGACTTTGTCCCCTAAAATCGTCCCCTAGCTGGGGTATGAATGATACACAAGCCCTGCGAATGTCTTTAATTTCCAAATCAAAAATTAGCAAAAATATATCTAAAATCGCCTACCCTGGTAAGGCTTGTTCAAGACGACCAAGAACTCCCAAAGTCGGCTGATGCTCCCCAATTCTGGCCGCAGCAAGCGCCAAGAAGAACAAGACCCAAGCGAAAGGGGTAGCTGGAAAATGCCATTTTAAGAAATTATGTTTAGCGGCCTTGTATTTACGTTTTACCGTCTTTTTTAAGGCGCGAAATACGTGGTGAATTACATCCTTATCGAAGTGAATATTGAGTTCCCCGTCGTCCGTTACTGCGAATTGGAATGCTACTGCAAGTCTAGCTTCAGCCATAACGTAATAACTGGTTCTTGAGAACCAGAATTCTCACTATATTTACCAAATTTGAAGGTCTATTAGGTGAAATGCGTTATAGACACGAAATAACGAAGACAAGTACTCTTTAACGCCCCCCTTGTTTCAGTTGTTTGAGTTGCTCGAATGCCACGCATGACCGGATGGATCAAAGTCCACAGCTAAATATGACCTTTGTCAAGTGGGATTTAATAAATAGACACGATCCAATAACTCGCGGGTATAAGACTACAAGTAACTACCCTGATAGAGGTAAATACATGTTCATAAAGTTTTAATTAAACCAGTCTCGGGTGTAGAGACCCCTGCTTACGAAAGGGTGACCCTAGTGGGGTAGGGACAGCTTTTATCCTTGTAAACACTTTGTCTCGGCCCCCAGGAGTAACTTTTGCTACCAACGCGTGTGCAATGGCGAAATAGAACATTTATATTAACTTTATTTATTTATTTTAGGAAGACCTAATCGCTTGCTTTTTGCTTGCCATTCTCAACGCTTGGTAAAGTTGTCTTGGGGGTAGGGTGTCCCTGGTACCCTTAGGAAACACGATGCCCTCAGGGGTAGGGGTGTTTAAAAGAGGTCACAGGGAGTAAGGGGGTACCACTAAAGCGAGATGACAATCTAATGCAAAGCGAGATGCAAACTAATTGTCGTTCTTATGTGAGAAAAACCCTTTTCGAAATTTAACCCATTTCAGTCATGTCCCATGTTGAATTCTGTACACAGGGTCGTAACTAGCTCACATAGGTGGGGTTATTCTCAGAATATTTTGGGGGACTGGGACATCTCCCTCCCCAATACCAGTACGACCCTGGTTGTACAGCTTCTCCGGACGTTATATAGCTCCGTAATCAAAGTAGATCGGACTGCACTCACAAACTCAACACCATGGATAAACTGCTTCTAGAATCGAGAGTGAAACCCAACCGTTTCCCCAAGATGATTTTTTTTTATATCAGGTTATGAAATTTCACGCCATTAGTTCCAAACCACCACACAACAACAGTTTTAACAAGAAAAAAATTAAGCAAAAGGATTATGAAAGTTTCTAATTTTCCGCTTACATCTTTTTCACGCGGACACTTCAGTTTCCTTTTTATGTACTAAACTTATGTTAACTAACTAAGGCTGTCTTTCACTTCAGTCGTATTGTTTCTGGGGGGGGGGGGATATTAACATGCTTCAAGTCATATTGAAAGTTTCGTAGCCGCGCCGTGCCAGGAAATAATTATATTATGCTACCTTCGCCTCTGATAGTGGATGATATCAGTGGACAGGTAGCGCACACTAAGAGACTTAGAGATATACCTCTAATTTTAAATGTAAGGGAGTAATTTACTTTCGTATGTTTCCTGCACAAAGATCAGGGACAATCATGATCGCTAAATTAAATTCTTAGGACTAGTGTTACTGGGGTGAATCTCATGTACCAAGACAATTTTCTGGAAGAGCAAGGATTTGGTATATCACACAGTGAGCTCTATATCGCCAGATGTGGCCCGATCGCAGACGCTATTTTTCTCTCAGTCATCGGGCTACTGTGATAAGCAAATTTTGTAATTGAAGAAACTTCTCGTTGGGAGATTTTCCATCTGTATTTCAGCATATGCATGTTCAAGAGCCCGAGATAAGCCTGAAAATTCAGGCGCACTCCCTAGCCTGAAAGGAACATATTATGCAGGATAAAATTTGCTTAGCACAGAAATTTTTCTATGGAGTTTGGCTACCTGACTTGTCTCTTATTGCAGCCACCTCCGACAGAAATAAAACACGGATTACCAGGTATTAGTTTAATGCTTCAATTTATTACCCATTTAGCCAATTATATTTTTTAATTCGAAATTTCAATTTTCACGGTATAAATAATCCACAGTCTTCACGATATCCCAAAAACCAATGTACAATCAGTATCAGAAAGATTTCGTCAATCGTCATCATACCGTCTCAAAACACATACGGGAAAATCTTATACGGAACCCGACGACAATATTCATCCCAATATTTCCCATACTTCTGCCGACAACGGATGTCATCGCGATAGGTACGATGGACCAGCAAAATTGCCATAAAACAGATGTAAAAATATGGCAAAAAATGAGCGAAGCCACAAGCTAGACAATAAGATAGTGACCCCATTAGGTCGCCGACATAATTGAAATGGCGAGACACTCCCCACCAACCAGAACACAAAAGTGGAGACTCCTTTTCCACACCGAAGGTTGTTATAAACTTTGCAGGAATATACTCGGCTGGTCGTCCCCAGATCATCAGTGACCGTTTTTCCTTTAGCGCCATTCGGAAGATGTTTTTTTGATGATTAACAGAACGGAATATGGCGTAGCCGGCAAGGCTTAGGATGCAGATGGCCAGGACAGCCCAATACGGGAGTTGAACCGGGTTTTTGCACAGGTAGAACGATTGTATTGTGTACATGAACGGTAGCCAGACCAGATCACCCCAAGCCAGATAAAAGCCGAAATGGTCATGAGCGATGTCCATTGTACGCAAATACCAGTCTTCATTGTAAAAGAAGTCTAGCACGTAAATCGCATGAAGGATGTTCAGTAAGATCATAGAATTGCTCACGAATCCGTGTGTCTCGTATTGCTTCGCAGCAAATGACAAGTTTATGAGAGTCCATGCGAGAATTCCAGGGCGGCCGTTGAAAAATAACTTCAGGTCAAACATTTTACCTATTCGCGGGTTGTGCTCGATACCCATAAATAGATCATACGGCAGCGAACCGCTGAAGCAGCGGTCTTCAGAATGCGTTGGCCAAATATGTGCTTTGATGTAGACCAGAATGGTGAACGCGAAGCCCGCCAAATTTACAACCACAAAAATCGTACCCCAATTGTCCGCGATTATCGTTGGACGGATGACATCATATTTGACCAACAGGATAGCTAGTATGTGCGTTAGCACCCAGGCTCTCAAACCGTTACAAATGTATGGAAGTTCGTGGCCCGCTGGCGTTGGTTGGCCTTTGCCAATAGGACCTATATACAACATAGTTTATAGTGGACTGACATATTTGAATATTCAATTCACCAAGAATAACGAATTTGTTGATTTGTGGTGGTCTATTCAAAATTTAATATTTGTTGAGGCGGGAGGAGACTATAGACTAGGTGATATTTTTGCTTCAAATTTAGATAAAATCTAGATAAGAACATAGTTCGGTGACACATAAAATAAGCTTTTCATTATCTTAGGAGTAACTGCTTCTGCCGTCTGCTGCCCCCACTGTCTATTATTCTATTAATTCAACAATTGGTTGCCCAGGAACATATTGATGACATGTTACACTTTTATGTTTGTACGCACCTGGTAAAAACGCGTAGAGCAAAGCTTGCAATACGAACCATATGCTGTATACTTTGACCCCGGTTACGGTAACTGATGGTAATCTGCTATAGACAATTCTCCAAAAATTGCCAATCCCCTCTTCGGAAATCGCCGCACCGATTTCGGAACCAGCCGCCATCAGCGACCCTCCGTGGGAGTTGCACGCATACCAATAAATCCAGGAAAACAAAGGAGGACCAAGGATCATGATCGTTGATGAGATACTTTTGGGGATAAATGGGACTCCGGACAGGTTTATATTTTTGTTGTGCGACACGTGTTTGGATGAAACGACATCTGGAGGCGAGGGTTGAAGAATAGGAGATGTATCACCATTTTCGTGGCGATGTTTGAGCTCACCTGAGACCATCTTGACTTTACCTGCAATAAAACTTTAGTATTAGTTTGATCTTGGATCATTTAGACAAGACTGCTTCTGAGTAATTTACAGTGGTCATAAATGCTATTTTCTCCACATGAATTGTCGTATGGCATGGGTTTTGGTGGCAATTTGTTTACATTTCTTAACAAGATGGGGTCAAAATATAGGAGTGTGACTCAAAACATAATTCTTGAATTTTTAAGACATTTTTACATTCGACACACAAAGTTTTTCGGAAAAAATATCTAACTTCAGTCCATTGAATGTTTGGCTCATTTGTACGATTATTTTTCACTACGCTCATTCGATCGTTTTGCGATTTTCACAACTCGAGCATAAAAATCGTACGCACTCGCTAACCACGAAGTAATCTCAATACTAAATCAATAGCAAACCTTTCCCCCAAACCAATAGCAAACCTTTCCCCTTTCACAAAAAAAGGTTATCGTTGGAACAGTGCAACTGTTTCAATGTAGTTTTAGTTTAGGTCTATGAAACTACACCGCATATTCTAGGCTAGCTATAACCTTTTGTTTTGTCATTAGCATTTATAAAAAATAGGTACGCAATGCGTACACGTAGGTAAACCTCTAAAGCATTGGCTCCGATAAAGATATGCGCCTTGGCAAAGATTTTCAAGTTGTGTTCAATGTTAAACGACAGGCTGCTACATTGGCGGGGAAATATCAACTGATGCTTCGTTTTACGTGCTAATGCCATACGCAAAGGCAAAAATGGGCTAGTTAGCTAGTTGGAAACAGTTATAACAAAGTAGATTTTATTAAACAAAATAATTTAACAATATTTCTCATTGTATTAAATACATTTTAACGACAGAATCAGAATATATATAAAAGTATATTTACAAAAGATAGGAAATGCATATTTTTGGAAACAGGTTTAAACGACGGAATACAGACATATATACAACACGTTGAAAGAGAGAGAGAGGGAATATACAAAAGCTGGACAGAACAAAAAAGAAAGGAGTAAGGTTGCAGGATGGTGGCACAGATTGTCTGATAATATGAAGCTTAGTTTGGTAGGGAAGAAAGAAAGGTTTCAGATATTTTCAAATTATTTCGTTGCGATGTTCCATGAAAGTCACTGATTATTAGCATGTCTTCAAGGTGATCTGATATGGCGGGAAAGGACTAGGACTAGTTGATTTTATTCAGTCGGTTTCAAATTTATATCAGAGCTATAGTTCTTATAACTAAACATAATCACAAAATTTTGATTGGTTTCATCAAGAATAACAAAATATATAATCGATTAAACACTGCAGAATGGATTTCTATTTTCACAAACTTTCTGAGCGCTGATTGGCTGAAATATGAGCGCGAGATCATCTGGTTTGTTATATTCATTATTTTGTCGATCAATGAACGTCATACGATTTAGATAACCTGGTTTTATTTGAACGATACTATAAATCATCGATTTTTATTCATATGAATGCATGTTGACTAAATTCACTTAGTTTCAGTGCATCATTGTTATTAGTCAAAGAGAAAACTCCGACATCCAAATATCATAGATTCTCTAAGAATTGTCAGCTCGTTTGAAACAGCTCGAAATATCCGTTAACAGCTGGTAATATACGTTAGTAGATGGAAAATAATAGTCGGAGGTTATTGTTCCCGTAGGATTATACGCTTGGCTTTGCAAAGTTAATGAGAATACGTTGTCACCATTAGCAAGAGATGTTAGTATGATTTCATAGATCCAGCAGGAATGTACAGGTGGCTTGCAATGTTGAGTACCGATATCTTATCAGCATGAATTTGTTGGAGATAATAGCACCAGTTCATGGATCCAATAAGACAACGTGGCTTGTTAATTTGCAAGTTTCATTGAGAATAACTTGTCACTGTTGTAATCAGTAACATTGAATGCCATCATTCATCACTATTATAAACGCGTATTGTTGAGTGGTAGTTACCAGTAATCTATGATATTTCTCCTTTGTCTTGTGTGAAGTAGCTTACTACCATTTGCGTTCAAGTGTTGAGTGCGAGAAATTTTTCACGATGTTTCCGTTCTGAAACGTTACATTTCCTTGTGAATTACTTCACGTTTTCGGCGCGAAATGTACAACTTTGTAGGAAATACGTCAACGTTTGCCACACGTCAATTTCGACAAGCCTTCGTTGCTCAAACAACTGCGCACGTTTTGTTAACACTTTTTATTATATTACAATTTTGATACTGCATTTAACTATGTCAATCCGTGTAAAAATTCTGTATGGAGAAAACTTTTCTAGATGCAAGGTGCATTCAATCGAAAAACATAGTTTGAGTTGCTTAAATTTATACCAATTCAAACAAATGATTACGGAGACAGTAGGTGAATTTATGGAAGGCGTTGACATTCAAAATGCGAGAATACAATATAGAGATGATGAAAATACCTACGTAACCATGAAAGATGAATCCGACCTTCAAGATGCAATGCGATGTTTAACAGCAGTACCGAATTCTGATGGGATCTTCAGAATGTGTGTTCGAATACACTATGAGATTACACCGTCCGGTAAACCTAGAAGTTCATCGGTGAAGACGGAATATATCGGGAGCTCCTTTCCTCAAGCTAATGATGATGCTCAAACAACACGTAAACGTCGACTAGACTTTGAGTCCAGGAATTCGAAATCCAGTCATTCAGTGCCAGTGTCAGTGAGCTCAAAACTTAGTTCAAAGCATTGTAATAAAATCCCTGCGGCCCACGTTGAACAGGACGAAAAAAAATGCCTTACCCCAGTCGAACGATATCTAGCCAAAACAGAGAAAATGATCAACGAAACAAATGAAAAGTTGCAAGATGTAATGGGCAAAGAGAGAAAAATCAAAGAAAGAATTCAAGCAGCAAAAGAAAGTAATGCCGGACGTGGCACACTCTGTCGTCATTGCCATATGCGGCTTGGTCATAATGCCCGAAATTGTACGTTTGATCAATGTTCCTCAGTTTACGAGTGCGGAGAGGAAAAATTTCATCCTGGTGAGATTAATATAAAAGCAATAACACAGGACGTAAAAAAATTAAGGAAAGAAAAGAGAAACTGACGGAGGAACTGAGTTTTAAGAAATCTGCAGCCGAAAATGTACGTGACTCCGTCTTGAACAAGCTGGAGAACTCTTTAATCGATGTCGATCCTGCGTCATATCATGTCCGAGGAGTTAAGAATTGGAGTCTTCTGAGAAGCCATGTTTTCGCTTTGAAAAGGTATTGTGAAACCACTTTACATGGCCGTATTCCACCAAAACATGACATTTTAAATTGTCTTCAAACTGCTCTTGCATCTAATGATTGTACAGGGGCAGCTGTACCAATCAAACAAAGTAAACGTCATCGACAAAATCCAGCAAAACCTACACTGGAACGATATGGGATCCAATTTCCAACTCGCCCAAATGAATACGACGACGACGATGCATATGAACAAACATTTGATCGCGTTGGGGCGTGGAGTCCTGCCAGAGATAGCTCAGAAAACAATGTCATTTGCATTGACGACAGTAACAATAAAGGAACTTGCTCATGGATTGATCGAATCAAGCCAGCAAATCTAACGGAGGAAGATGAACAGCTTAAAATTGCTATGCATGCTAGTTTATACACAGAAAATATCCCAGCAAAAAGTGTTGATTCCCATGGTATGAAATCAAATACCTCAAGCGCCGATCATGCTTCAAGACCATTTCCATGGACTGTGACAGCTTCAAGTTCTGCTTCAACAGCTGGTAATTCCAGTTTTACGCCCAGTCATTCTGTCGAATCAATTCTTTCTAATCCTGTACGGAGCGTAAGTGATGCAGCAAACGCACTTCTATCACTACGCGATATGCAACAAGATTAAAAATAGGCGTGAGTAATTCTGTCAGTTCAGCATTGTTATAATTAGCATTTTTGTCGATTGATTTTTTTTCATTGCATGTTTTATACAATACAATTATTTAAATAACTTGAACGAATTGTTATATTAAAATTACTATTAATATACTTGACATTTTAATGAAGATGAAAGCAGTAACATGAACTTTTGCGAAAAACAACATTCCTCTACTAAGCTGTTGTACCTATGTAGAAAATCACAAGGATAAATTTTCTGACACGGAAATCAGACCATGCACTAATGTGAGCCAGAATTATTTTCAATGTGGTCATATTCCTTGTATGAAAATTTTCCCTTCTGAATATATTGACGGGTATTGTGTTACATTTTATTGGTTTACTGTACTATTTCATATTTGTATAAAGCAAACAAACACAATGTTTATACGTTTCATCACTTTTATGTATTGTGCAGTGATGGGGCCTGTTTGGGTTGTTTTCTAGTAAATGTCAGTCTCAACGAGAGTCTACCAAATCAACACCTAGCCAACCTAGCCTAATGTTACACGGTTTGCCCTTGCTGACTGTAATATAAGCAAATATACTCTGAACATACAGATATACTATCACTTTTAATTAAGGCAGTGACATGTTCTTGTTTACTTTAATGTTGGGAAATATACAGAGGGGCTATAAATAAAGAGATTACATATGTGTTGGATAAGAAATATTTCAAACCGAAAAAAGTAGAGAAAAGTAGGGATTAGGGAATCAAATTACAGTAGATAAATTTGAATTCGAATGGAAAACCGTATAACAATATAATGCGCAATAGAGCAAATATTCAAGCAATATCACGTACCACTAATAATACTGTTAACATTGTAAGAATTAAGATAACACAAAAATTGTATGCGATCAATCCATTTTTATAGTATGCAATATAAATGTCTTAGTCTATATTCTGACTTACAACTAAGGAAATAAATAAGAAGTATTTTTAAAAAAGTTCATCATATCTGATCGAGTGATCTTTTGAATGGCAAGCATAGCGGATAATTTCGGATTTGCAACAGTTACGTTTATTAGTTCATGGTTCATAACAGTTTTCATTTTATTGAAACAATGTTCAACGGGATTAAGATCTGGTGAAAAAACCGGCGT